CATCGGTTCCAGTTACGGCGCCCAGCCAAGTGCATTCACATTGTTGATTTTTATGTTTTGTTGTACCAAGACGTTGTGTTGACATTCGTTTCAGTCGTTCCGTTGGGTTGTTGGTTGTGTCCGTCCAGAATGCAGTATGTGAATTTGGTTTTTGATTATTTTTATTGTTATTGTATATAATGAGTGCAATCACCAGTGAAATGGTGAAGCAAAGCAGACGCATTTACGAAACATGGAAAAGAAAGAAAAAAATCATAAGGAATGTGGAAAATTTTTATGTGCTCGATTTGATTTTTTTGTTTTGAAGTTATTTAGTTTTTTTTTTTTTTTTAATGAGAGAGGGGAAACGTGGTTTACAATCACAATAGATATATTGACGTTAGGAAATAAGTTTTGTATTCGTTGCATAAAATTGTGTGCACCTTGCTGTAAAGAATTATACTTTGTTAATAATAAATACAATGGTATTACTTGAGATTACTTCAATAATTCATAACATACTGTTAATCAGAGTCAGGTATGCCTCTTTAATGCACGTAATGTCGTACATTTGAAAACTAAAGTACGGAAAATTACATAACCTAAAAGTTAGTGTGCGCTTTATAATTGTATACTTCTCAGCACAATTATTTTGTTTACCAGTAATTTATGTGTAGATATTTGACACCTATAAAAACTATAGTTGTTTGTAACTGAATATGAGTACTCGTTAGTTTTATACTGAAAAGTTTGTATTATAATATGCGCTCGCTTATGTTTATTGGAACGTACTTGTGTTTTATTAATTTTAGTTTTTCATTCAGCGAAAAAATATAAAAAAATACACTACTATGTAAAATATAGACCAGAAAAAATAAATATTAAAAACTAATATTTAATAGAAATCTTAAATTTCGTATGAGATGCCATTGAATATGGTATATTATGCATAAGTCTGCAATATATTATACCATCTGATCAAATTTGGCCCGGACTGGTACATAAAAACACGGTATGCCTAAATCGGCGCAACCTTTTGTAAGCTTGGGTGAAGTTTGATCTCCATATGTCAATAAGTATGTGTGTCGGCAACTGTTTTTCTTTTACGCGAAGCGAAAGGTTGATCTGGCGATTTTTAATACGAACGTTTTTTTTTTTAATTAATCAACGAGTTTGCTTGAAATTTTGTGCTTCCAATGGCGGCCATGGAATGGTTGAAAATTATGCAGAAAAGTTTTAGGGAGTCTATTTTATCACAAACACAAGTATTTGAGTTGTACAAAGCATTCAGTGAAGGTCGTGAAGTCATCGAAATCTTGCCTCATGCGAGTCGTCTATCCACCTCAGTTAATTACAGTGCTTAAAAATCATCGTGCTGCCTTTAGATAGATAGCAGAGGATATCAGCATCTATTAAGGATCGACTCAACACATTTTGGTTAATGTTTTGGGTATAAAGCGTGCCAGTTCTAGACTTATATCAAAGGATCTGAAGCACAAACGACGCCCGATAGAGGTCGCAAAAGAGACGCTTGACAACTTAACTGAGGCTCCTACGTTCATTAAACGCATTACTACTGGTGACGAAACGTGGGTTTATTAATATGATTTCGAAACTATCCAACAATCTAGCAAATGGCGCTTTTTTCGCTAAGGCACCGAAGGCACCACAGCCGAGGCTTCTAACAAGTGTATGGAAAATTAAAGCAAGTATGTATTTATTATGTAGCCTTTTTTTAAGGCGACAATAAAGATTTGTAATAGAAAATATAGTTTTTTTTTTTGACAGTCCGGGTCAAATTTTATCAGATGATATAATGTAAACAATACACAAAAATCTAAAATTATATAGCAATTAATTATTTTTGTTTTCAGGAACCTAACCTTAAAAAAACAAATTCTATTTATAATATAAAAACGTTTATGCCAGTTATAACTATATCTCACCCTAATCGTCTTGAACTAATGGTATTTTGCTGGGTTATGTACTTTGCATATTAGGATTTTTTCTATCATACCTCTATTCGCGTCCAAAGTACTTGTCAGACATAAAAGTTGAGAATTGGAATATTTTGAAATATTGGTAATAACCTACAAAACCTATTTTCAATACGTTATATTGAACGGCAGAGGTCCTTAACGGTCTGAATATTATTTGTATTTGAAAGCGTATTTTATGTACTTATGAGATAATCTCATAGGTGTTCATTATAATAACATTATTTATTAAACTACTTAATCAATTATTAATAATTGAGTAATAAGGAAAAACTATTTTCATCGCATAATCAAAATAATATTTGCTTTTCGAAACACTGCCTTCAACTCCAATCCTATATACATACAAATAACTATTTATAACGTGGCGTACTTTCTTAATAATATTCGAAATATTGCCCTAAAAATACCGGGAAATACATACCATTGGGTGCATTGTGATAGATCGACGCCAGTTAGTGCTTTGCAAGTGCGTATAGCTGTACGTATTAATACGGCCGGATCCTTATCTGGATTTTCACCATCAAGCGAGGGACTCCATGGACCACCAATAGCCATGGGTTCATTTCGTCCCCTAGTACCTACGAGGAAACTAATTAAACGTGAAGGATGCACCGTGTTCTGCTCGTTGTCGTTTTCGTCATCTTCAAAGCATTTTTGATAAAGATCGACGATGGGTGGGCAAGCCATAAGCATAACCTTAGCGGAATACAAATAATCTGCATCCGATGGTTCTAGTATATCGTTGTTTAGCTCGAATGGCGAGTCCACAATGCGATGCATTATATGAAATTGGCATGGACGGCGTAGCGAGAAAGCATTTTCGGGTGTGAAAACTTTAGGCCACAAGATGTTGGCATGAAAGAAGTCCGATGGAATGTACAATGTTGAGTAACGTTGACGTAATTCTTGCAAATCGGCTGAATTGCTGGAAATTTGTAAAGAATTCTTGAGTAAGATCCATTCCATAGACACGATATTTTATATATAACTTACTAGGCTAATATATTTTTGGGTATTTGCACCATATAACGACGAATTGCACGAGTACGGCGTCCCTTCGCTGCTGGACGATGTGGACTGCGTTCAACACGATCCCCACGCTCTCTATCACGTTCGCGTTCGCGGTCCCTTTCCTTTTCTCGCTCCTTTTCACGTTCACGCTCCCGATCACGATTACTACGCTCCAAAGCGTGATCAGGCTTGCCATCAGGACGAGTACGATCTCGTTCGCGCTCATGTTCACGTTCTCTATCATGACCTCGTCCCATGCCTGACATGGTGCGTTCACGACTTCGTTCATTATCTTCACGTCGACGTTTTCGGTCTCTTTCCAACTTCATAAAAAAAAAGGAGTACATTATAATTTTTAATACCTATTTTGTGTTATAGTTATTTACATCTTCACTATCACGGGAGCGAATATTGCGCTCACGTTCGCGGCGTTCTCGTTCCCTGTCATTTCTTCGTTCACCACGCAAGGGTGAAGAGTGGCGCGGTGAGCCATGTCGTTGTTGTAGCTGCATCTGTGCCAGTTGATATTCATTCGGTGGCGGCACAGCATTATAACCACTTCTACCGCCACCTCCGCTGCCCATTAAAGGCGGCAATTGTTGAGCTTGGTGGGACATGTTTCCACTTTTGAAATAAAAGTGGTAATACATACATATATATTTTTAATTTTTTTGTAAATAAATTATTAATATCTCACCCCATTAGTTGTATCAGCGTTGCATTCCACTTAAATTGTCCTGTTGTAGAATAGGATGCTTCAAACATTACGCGATCACCCAATTTAGGAATGGCTCCCTTACATGCATTGCGGTAGAAGAAGACTTCATCGTTGATCAGTCCGCAATCATTATTGATTTTTGTTACCGTGCCTATAGAATTGGTCATCGTTTGACCACCGGCATTTGGTTGCTGAAAAGCAACTGGGTTCAAAGTTGTCGACCGTTGCTGTGGGTAAGCTACAGAGGGTGCACCGCCACCACCTTGCGAAAAAATGGCCGAGTGCCCAAAAGCAGATTGTGAAGCAGCATGTTGTTGCTGCATAAACATTCCGCTTTGATTTGCGCCTCCCTGATAAAAACCGCCTTTTCGCTGCCAAGCCTGATTTTGTTGGCCACCATAAGACATTATTTTGTCTTTTTTAAAACAATTATATTAGCAAAAATTAAATTTCTAACGTTAGAACTACACGCTTATACACTTTTCTTGCTATGCCGATAATTGCAGTTGTCAAACTTGACAGGGTGGTATTTTACGCAATTCAGTATTGCATTTAAATAGTACCATTTATATTAAGGGTGTTCACATACTAGTTGTTGAGTTATTTTTTATGAAAACAAGAAAAAACGTTAACTTTAGTGGTCCGATCTGAATAATACATGCCAAAAATATCTTGTCTAACAAAAAAGTGTTCCATACAAGAACTTGATTCCCATCATTCAGTTTATATAACAGCTTTGTGCTATAGCAGACCGAGCTAAAAGTTTTGATTGAAGATTATAGCGTTGCCTTTGAAAATAATCCATACCAAATTATGTGAATATATCTTGTCAAATAAAAAAGTTTGCCATACAAGGTTTTGATTTTGATCGTTCAGTTTGTTTGACGGGTTCTTGGGAAGAAAAGAACATGTGCAAAATTTCAGAGTGATATCTCAAAAACTGAAGGACTACAGACAAACAGACCTGCAGACAGTGGATAGACAGATATGCATAGCTAAATCGACTCAGCTCGTCACGCTGATCAATTATATAATATATATTCATATTTTAAACGGTCTCCGAGGTTTTTGGGTGCTACAAACATCATGGCAAAGTTCATATACCTTATTCAGGGTATATGACAGGAAATTAAATTGTGTATTTCGTAAGTATCATGCAATATTTTTCATGAACTTTTTTCTTTAAATGATGTGTTATTGTTATTATTGTGTAATTATTTGCTCAAGCCCTTCACAACTAAGTGGCTTTTAGCAGTACGGCAATCTAATTTTTTTTCAAATCGAAGGAGAATAAAATGTAATAAAAATTCATTTTGGTGACAATTGAAATAAAAAATATTGTAAAACATAAATATCAGTCGAAATACAAAATTTCTAGTTATGAGCGGGACAAACGGAAGTGATCGCTACGATGTTACCGGACGTCCGGTTGTGACAAGTAGGTACCCTTGTAATTCCAGTATATGATGTGCAAGATTAAATTACTGTGCATTTTAGCCGAAAATCAAGCCAACAGCACAATCGAAAAATTGGCTTTTGTGACTTCGTTCATTTTATTTTTAGTGCTTTTTCCGATTTCAATATTTGCATGTCTGGTTGTAATGTTGGAATTCCAACGCGCAGTTGTGTTTCGGTTGGGACGATTAAGGTAAACTACTGCTATATAATAATTCAAATATGTATAAACTTATATTTTATTTTTAAATATATAGAAAGGGTGGTCCACGCGGTCCGGGTATATTTTTCATTTTACCTTGCATAGATAGTATCGTCAGTGTCGATTTGCGTACGGTTTCAATTGATGTTCCGCCGCAAGAAGTACTCACAAGAGATTCGGTGACAGTTACACTTGATGCTGTCATCTACTACCGTGTACATGATCCCCTAAGAGCGGTCATTCAAGTCGCTAATGTTATGTCATCGACGATGCTGTTAGCTCAGACGACTCTGCGTAATGTTGCAGGCACCAAAATGCTCATGGAGCTGTTGGCCGATAAGGACTCAATTTCCAAATCTATCGAAGATATTTTAGATGTAGCAACCGATCCTTGGGGTGTAAAGGTGGAGCTTGTGGAAATGTAACTAAAATGTGTAGCTGTATATAGGTGTATTGAAAAACTTATGATCACCTCTAATTTTTTTAGCAAAGATGTCCGCCTGCCTTTTGCGCTGCAACGCGCCATGGCCGCCGAAGCGGAAGCTGCACGTGAGGCCAAAGCGAAAATTGTTGCTGCAGAAGGTGAATACAAAGCGTCGACTGCGCTGAAGCAGGCTTCGGATATAATTGGAATGAATCCAATTGCATTACAGGTATTGCTTCTGCTATACCTGGCTAGATAAAACAAAATATTTGTTTTTTTTTTAGTTGCGGTACTTGCAAACAATGAACACAATATCGGCGGAACGCAATACAACAATTATATTTCCGTTTCCGATTGAGCTTATGGATGTTTAAGTGTTTTATTAGAATTGTGGGACGAAGTGTTTATAATGATGTATATATAATATAATATATTAAATTGTGCGAATTTTAGCTAAACCTGTGATAGACTTTTAAAGTTATGAACGAAAATGAAGGCATCCAGGTCCATCGCAGGGATCACAATATTCATGTTAAATGAAATTTGATTTTTATAAGTTGTTCACTTGTCTCATTGGATATACATTTTTTCGCTAAAAAATCCTTATTGGTTACAATTCGAAGTATTGGTTCTACTATTAAATTATGGTAAAACCGTTAACGAACGGAAGTTATAGCATCTGATTTGATAGCGCAGTGAAAATGCTAGAGATTATATTACGACCGAGCGAAGGCTGAAAAGGTCGACTATAATCGTTATCGACAATTTTCAGTAATCTTTTCAAGTCAATATAAAAACTTCACTCACTTCAAATGCAAAAGATTGTCGGATAGTGATATCGGACACTAGAATTGATGATACATCCTTAAAAGTAAACAGCTACCTCACCAACTTTCTACGCTCATTCACTGCAAGCAGCCCAACCGTATTCTCAACAAAATTGTCAATGATTGACGACAAAGCACTAACTTGATCGTGCCATTAAAGCCGATGACTTCAAAATTCCGGTTATGAGTTGACTAGATATCAAAAAATTGCTCCACCAATTGTGTTAGCAAAATTGGTTAATTTCGGACCTCTGATCTGAGGTTATTGGTAATTAAAAAAAATTAATACCGTAAAAATTGAATCGCATTTTGATAGTTTAGTTAAACAGGTATACAACAACGTAGCAACATAGAGAACGTTGGATAACAAAGTACCTACCTCAATATTTTCAAGAAACTGAAACAACATAAAAAGTCAATTGGAATAAAATTAAAGTCTTTAAGAAATCACATTTATTTTAATTTGTTCTGCAAAATTTTCAGTCAACAAACTATGACTCGTCAGCGAAGAGAAGTGAAATATTTTGCAACAAGTGAGATCGTACCCACATAAAAACTATATATGTATATTATATAATTGAGGTTACTAATTATTTTCAGGTGAAAACAATCCACCCAGCGGCATTGAACAGATCGTTGTCTTCATAAGCCACATATTGATAATACTAACGTTTCCGTTATCAATCTTTCTGTCACTGATCGTCTTATCCGAATACCAAAGGGCCGTCATATTTAGATGTGGACGTCTGAGGTACTGCTAATTTTCTTATTTTCGTATGTTATTATTAGAGGCGTTATCACTTTGTTGCAGACATGGTGGAGCACGTGGTCCGGGTCTTGTCTTTAAAATACCATGTGTAGATTTTTGTGTAAAAGTTGATTTGCGAACGACTTCGTACGATGTGCCAGCGCAAGAAATTCTCACAAAAGATCACGTGACAATCAGTCTGGACGCTGCGGTTTACTATCGAATTTTCGACCCTTTACTCGCGGTAATACAAGTGGAGAATGTTCATTTAGCAACGCGCATGTTGGCGCAGGCGACCCTGCGAAATATAGCCGGACAGAAGCACGTTCTGGAATTGATGTCCGAAAAGGATTCGGTCTCGATGGCTATGGCGGCGTTACTAAAAAGCGCTTCAGCACCGTGGGGGGTATATGTTGAGCGTGTTGAAATGTAAGTTTTTACATTTTTCGCATTAGATGAGCTCAATGTCTAACTATTTTTATATATTTTTTTTTCAAAAATAATTTTCAGCAAAGATGTTCGCTTGCCACTTCAATTGCAGCGTGCTATGGCTGCTGAAGCCGAAGCTATACGCGAAGCAAAAGCGAAGGTGGTTTCAGCCGAAGGTGAATTGAGCGCCTCGAAATCTTTGAAAGCCGCATCCGATGTTATAGCATCGAATCCAGTAGCGCTGCAGGTGAGTATCTACGCATATATGAATATATTTTAATTCACACTCATGATAATATTATATCTAGCTGCGCTATTTGCAAACCCTAAGTCTTATTTCCGGTGATCAAAATAAAAATATCATATTTCCATTCCCTGTGAATTTGATAAGACAATTAGTGATGGGCAAAGGTAATGAACCAAGTCAGGGAAGCTCATCCAAGAAACGAGTTTCAAGTAATCTAAAGGAAGAATTAGGTAGAGGTCTTATGTGAAAATATGTTTAATTACCTTAATTAATTTATTTTATATTCCTAATCAGAAATTAATCGCGAGGTTGACGAAGCATTAGAGGAAGCATATAGAGTTTTGGATTGCAAGATTGTAAAGTTATCACAGGAAAGCTAAAAATAATCAAAAAGTCGTGAGAATATTTCAAACTACTCTTTTGGAAAAATGACATTTTGATTAGGAAAAGATTACTTAATTTAAATTATACGTAATATGTTTATTATCTTGCTAAATGCTTAATAAATATCAGCGTATTATTTCAAAAAGCTTTAATTTTTTATTTCCACAACAAAAACCTAAAACTATGATGATATAGATGTAGTCTATAGCGTAATAAGTATCACCGAAACTTTTAACACCCCATAAGAAAACACGAAGGACACAGTCCCAAAAGACACCGAAAAAGAAAACGAAATTAATTAGTTTATACCATTTCAATACCAGCTTCTATAAAAGTGATTTTGAAACAAAGATCGATGTACGAGTATACCGTATAATCAATTTTGACCCGGACTGACAAAAAACGACAAGTCAACCCATCTTTTAAGGGGTGTTATGAGGTCTATTCTAGCAAAACTGTACATAACATAGTGTGATCAGAAGTCATCACCAGAGGTACTAGTAGATATATTTTTTCCACTTATCTTCTTACTTTTCCAATACTAAAGGGTGTTTCTTTTAACATATGGTTTTCCAGAAGAAATAAAACGCATACAAATAATTTATATTATATTTATATAATTTTGCCACTATGTTTTAAAAATAGTTTCGGGCAAGTGGCTGCCGCGGTTGGCTAGAATAAATTCCGGCCGGGAGGCCTCTTTTGGACCTATCCACCGAACTTGCAACGGGCTTGATGGTCGTTCAAGTTTTACTCTTACACGTGTCGATTTTTGTAAGCCTGCAAACCAAGATTCTTCCGTAAAATCTTCCATAAAGTGGATGGTATAGCCGGAATAGTTACGCGTAATGGCGGATGAACTCATTTGAGACATTCGGCGTCTCTGAGGATACTACTACTAGAGTAAACATGGTGCGGAACTGTTCCATGGTTGCTCGAATTACCGACTCTGCTGGCCGATTATGTCGACCGAATATTAGACGTTGCGTGCGTTTTGGTAATAAATTTTCACGATTTGCAAACGTTCTTCTGGATTATGAAAAGGTAAACCAAACTGAGTATAAATCAAGTAACAGCTGTAAAAAAGACCAAGTCCGAAAAAAGTATTGCCTCATTGTAAACCATACGTCTAATAAAAACCGTTATGAGGTATATCTATAATGAAAATTGGATAAAAATCTGAAATTGGGCATAATAAATATGGTAGAATTCAGTCTACACCTTCTCATAGCGCCCATATACCGATCATCTCCCTCACTCTGAATGCCTTATATCGTATAAAAAGGATGTTAGATATCTTTACAATATTTTTACATTTATTTTAAAAGTAAATTCTTTGTTGAAAATATTTTGTAAACATAGTAAAATTTAGCTTAAGCATTTGCAATGCCTGGTAATATATTTTCGTATATTTCTATGCCCTTCAAATAGGTGTCTGCCTGCAAATACTCATCATTATCGTGCAGCAGAATCGGTGTATTCGTAATTGGAGAGAAACCCAAGGCTGGTATACTCATTTGACGCACGTATCGGCTGTCTGTGACACCGGGAAGCACTGCAGTACGCACTTTCAAACCACTAAAAAAATTTTACATAAAATATAAGCACAAGTAGACAATAAAATGTTTGGGAAGGCTTAGTCTTACAGTTTTTTCATCGCATTTTGCATGCCCACCCAATAGGGATTGGTTTCATTTATAATAGTGGCCGGAATTTTTTTTTCTTGAGTAGGGAACTTGATTGTAATATCACCACCAGCTTCGTCACACCAAACTTTTAGCTGTAATTAAAAAAAATGAAATAAAATCCATAAAAATAATAATTATTCATTTAGCAAACCTGCTTTTGTAATGCCTCATGGTCTTCATCAATGCCCAAGCGTAGGTCGAAAGTTGCCTCAATCACAGGTGGTATAACATTGTTCTGCAGGCCACCTTTCACCACTGTCAAATTAACGGTACTGACATTACCAAGTTCCAGCGACCGGTCGCTGTTTAAGAGACTTTCTGCTCGTTTCCTTAGCTCCAACATTTTACCGAGAATATATTGGAATTTTTGAGCAGCTGTATTTTTATGCAACAAGGATCCATGTCCCGTTGTGCCACTTATAGTGAAATGAACATCTAAACAAAAATAATAATTCCTTCAAATGATATTTATTAAAAATTTTTTTGGTGCTTACACCAAATAGTCTTTTCAGCATAGTACACGGCATATTCATCTTTTACACTCGCTATGCCTTCGTCTAAACAAAAACCAACATTCAGTTTTCGAAAATTATCGGTTTGTACGAAACATTTCATTCCCAGGACTCCACTGATTTCCTCATCTAAAATAATTGCAAAATTTAGGTAGTTTAAGGCAGTAAATGAATCGGTATTTTCGGGGTAGTACAGAGTGTAATGTCAATTTTTCAAATAGGTGGTAACTTTTCCAAAAAGATAATACCGCACCTTTCGAGTTTTTAGGGAATTTTGTTAGAAAGGTTTTCGTACATGTTCTCTATCTAAACTTACTTCATACGACTGCATATTATATTCTTTGGCAAATAAATAAATTTGACTTATATTTTTTACCATTTAATGGGGAAATCTAGATTCATAATTGTAAAATTGGTTTATCGTGGGTATTTCATTCTATAGAATCAACGCTTCTATTTTTATCGGGTTGAATAATTATAAAATATTCCTTTTCCCCATAAAATGCATCGAAAATCGAATAAATAAAATTCTTACCGGGCACAAAAGTGACGTGTATAGTTCGTTTGAATGTAGCGCCTTTCTTTTTAAGTGCTCGTATAGCTGCTAAATACTGCATACCCACACATTTCATATCCTGTGACCCACGTGCAAATATTCGACCTTGCTCGTCCATTTCGGCAGCAAAAGGTGGATGCGACCACTTTTCTGGATAAACCGGTACCACATCCATATGTGAATTGAGCATTAACGATGGTAGTTTAGGTTGTTGTCCCAACCATGTCATGATAACTATGGGCTTAGTAGGGCCGCCAGGGTAGCATATTTCTACAGTTAAGCCTAAATCTTTGGCTTGCTTTTTCAAAAACTCCACGCAAGGTGCTATTTTTTTTTTAATTAAAATAAGTTTAAAAAACTTTGAAGTTTAAGAAATATGTATTGTATATAGTAGGGTGGTGCGAAGAAAAATTTTTTTTTTGCTTTGCCTGAGGATAAAATTTGTAAATTATAAAAAAAGAAAATATAGGACAAAAAACAGTTTTTTTAACATTTAGAGGCAGCCCACTCAGTTTTAGAGTAAATTTTCGAGTTACAATTTTAATCTCGTAAAAAATTTTTGATAAGTGTTCTAGAAGCTGTGAAGAGTCCTCTTTCCGGCCAATTAAAAGTTATCAACTTAAAAAAAAAATTTTGTGATCATTACTGGAGTTTTAAAATAAAGTCTTAAACGACAACATGCTTTCCTTAAGCGTTAAAATAAATTTTGATTCAAAAACCGTCACATTCGACAATTTTTATATAAATGTAAAGAGTTTAAACCAAAAACATTTTATTCTTGTCCAAAAAAAATTTTAACTCGAAATTTACTTTAAAACTGTTTTTGTCCAAACATTTTTTTTTCGCTCCTCCCTAGTATATAGCTATATAAAACTTACTGTAATCTATGTTCGGATGGACGCTGGGTATCCGCAAATATTCGCGAAATAATTGTATTTCCTTATTGTTCATCCAGTCGCTCATATTTTCAACTATTAATTTGTTTATAATTAAATTTAAAATTAGTCTTTGATTGTGCCTAATATTTATTATGCTCACTTGCACTTAAGGAAGACCACCTGCTGTGTAAGTACCTATAGAACTATTTTTTATCTCGCCGAACTTCCCATTATACATCAGTGTGAAGAGCATGGAAGTAGGTAGAATATATTTAGTAGAAGTATTTTCGATAAATATCGATGTCGATACCGATTTATCTAAATTATGCATACATAGTTTGTTGGAGACAAGATTATGTATTGCAACAGCATAAAATAATTTCGGGGAAGAGATACCAGGGTTATACTGAATACGCATATAGTAAACATCGGTCCATTTCGGCAACACAGTCGTTCATTTTGTGCGGCAGCTATATGCTATAGTGATTCGATCAGAATGATTTCTTCGGAGATTCCATCGTTGCCTTTACATGCCAAATTTCGTGAATATATCTATTCAACTAAAAAAGTTTTTCATACAAGGACTGGATACATACAAGGATTGAGTTTGGATCGTGCAGTTTGTATGGCAGCTGTATGCTATGGTAGTTCCGACAAATGAGCAGCTTTGTGGGTAGAAAAGAACGTGTACAAAATTTCAGATCGATATCTCTAGAACTGAGGAAGTAGTTTGCGTATATACAGACAGACAGACGGACAGCAGACGCATATGGCTTAATCGACTCAACTCATCAAGTTGATCATTTATATATATATATTTTACAGGGTCTCCGACTTTTCCTTCGGAGTGTTACAAATGTCGTGGCAAACTTAATATACCTTGTTCAGGATATAATTAGCTTTTCGATAATGAACATACATATATCGGTACACATAAGTATATCATGTCACCGCTATCATTTTCGAATGTTTGTTTAGGTCGTAATTTTCAACAATTGATAAGAAATGAATTGCATATAGCTGAGGCTTGGTAATGCGTGTGTTAAATGCTTTCAGTCTCTTTCCCATCTCTGAATCTTATCACCATCATCATAATATCATAAACAGTAATTTAAATATAAATCCTGTCGTCGCTAAAAATGTTTATTTAGACTTAATTGTATGCATTTAGTGTATATGCATATAATACAGTTTTAACCGATTTTTTATACTCTAAAAATGCTTAGTAACCGAATCAGACTCGATATTTGTTCAAATCATTAAATAAAATATTTTATCTTCACAAAAACCAACAAGCAGACTTTAGAAGCTTCTTATGAACAAGCCAAAGTATACACGCTTAATGAAAAAGGGTCGATATTAACATTTGTTTGCTTATCCTAGAAAGCTTTAATTAGCTCTACCTCTACTGTCAACGATTGGAGCGTCTAAAGGAAGCAATCGTTCAGAAGCGACCAGCTTTAGCCAATAGGAGAGGAACAACGCCAGGCCAGGCATATTGACAGTGACTCGCCAGATGCTCCGGTAGCTTGTTTTGGTGGTTCTGTACATCCACCTTATATTCGCACCTGGCGCCAAGTTCCTATTATCTGTTTTTTATATGGTGAACGATTTTGCTGGTGAAAAATTCGGCTCTAAAGAAACTTGTAAAAATTTACTATCCTAATTTTTTCCAATAGGAGCAAAGAGTTATCGAACGAAACGGTGCACACTTGACCTAAATCGGATCAATAATTAAAAAATAATGGATTTGTTTTTACTATAATAATAATTAATTAAAATTTACAACTTCTATCAAAGAATTATACATATAATATAATCATGTGCACCAATATCATATACATACCTACTATTGTATATACTATACTAAACATATGCCTTCATATAACTAAAATGTTTTTGTTGACATATATGTAAAAGTAGTATTTACAACCGTTAAAACAATGAAATGATAATGGGATAACATTGAAAACATTTGTAATCTTTTCGCTTGATTCTTTCCTATTAGTTTGAAGTTTATATGAGACCAAGGAAAATATTGACCGATTTTATAAATTTATTATACCATATCACACAATGTTACAAGAAAAACTCTATCCAATTATCTTATATACTGACTACATAGGTATCTAACATTAAATTAACCGGAAAATGTAAGTTATATACCCGTCCGATCAAATTTAACCCGGACTGAAAAAACAAAATTTTCACGTATTTTAATACAAATCTTTATTATCACTCTTGAGCCAATTCAAACATGTCAGCATTTAATCCGATCTGCCATAAACTTGTTATAAAATAAGCCTAGGCTGGGATGGCTTTCAATGAATTCAGTGAATTTTGGTTTTATCGGGTTTGGCTCATATTTGCAGCGCCATTTGCTAGATTATTAGACAGTTTCGTCATCACATTCAAAATCTCACATCTCGTCATCAGTAATGATGCGTTTGATGAATGTAGGGTCCTCAGCTATATTGGCAGCATCTCTTTGGCCATCCCCACTAGAGATTGTTTTAGCAAAAGATTCAGGTCTTTTGGTAAAAGTCTAACATTAATACACTTCACACACAAACTATTTCCCTAAATGTATTAAGTTGGCCCATAAGAAGTGTTGAGATTCTCTGTTATATCTCTGGTGCCAACACGACGTTTTTCAACGACTGTTTCTTTAACTTTTTCAATGGATAGATGATTGGCATAAGTGAAGTTTTCGTTGACTTCACGACCTTCACTGAATGCTTAATTCTATTTAAATACCTGTGTTCGTGATAAATTAGACGCTCCAAAACACTGCGGCAACATTTTCAATGAAATATTTCAACTGTAAGCTTCCAGCTATTGTAATTTTTCTTTACTTTAAAAATATCGTTGACTTAAAAACTTTAAACAGATGGTAACTTTTTGGCCGTTTCTTTTAAACTATCCGAGTATTACACCAAACAATTCAAAAAACGATATTCAATTCAGGTACATACGTTGAAATTTCAGGTTTTTATTTTATTTTTCAACATTAGCAACAGCCGATATAACGTATTTATAAATTTCAATGCCTTTTAAGTAGACGTCCGCTTGCAGAAATTCATCGTGATCATGCAACAACACGGGTGTGTGGTTTATAGGCGAAAACCCTAAAGCGGGTAAGCCCAGTCCGCGTATATAATAGCTGTCTGTGCCGGCAGGAAATACAAGGGGTTGGATTTTAAGGTTTCTAAAATATGGCGACAAGAAAATTTTCAAACTTACAACTTTTCAAATATCAACTAAAAAACTTTAGAACATACAAATCTTTTATAGCTTTCTCAAACGCCATCCAGTACGGATTAGAGTTATCAATTTTTGTAGCCGCTACCTTCGGTTCTTTTTGTTCATATACGATTTCCACACCACCGCCAGCTTCTTCACACCACGTCTTGAGCTTTAGCGCAAAAAGTATAGAAATTGCTTAGGTTTTAAAAAAATGTTTCATAACCTTACTTTAATTTTGAATAAAAACTAATAATTATACCATATACTTAGAAATGTATTTTCGTACCTGTCTATCAAAAGCATCGTGGTCTACATTCAACGCTAAACGCATATCGAAAACGGCTTCAATAACCGGTGGCACCACATTGCTTTGTACACCACCTTTCACAACGGTTAAATTGATGGTTGTAACATCGCCAAGTAGCAAAGATTTATCTCTATCCAAACGATCGACTTCGTGTTGTCTAAACTCAAACAATTTATTCAGAATATAGTTCAACTTTTCGCCAACGGTGTTTTTGTGCAGCAACGAACCGTGGCCAGCAGTGCCACTAATTAAAAAATGTACATCTAAAGGTATTAAAATAGAAAATTTAAGAAAAAAAATATTTGCGAACTGATAATGCTCACGCCAAAGACTTCTTTCCGCATAGAATACTGGAAATGTTTCATCGGCTGATGCAATGCCTTCGTCAAAGCAGAAGCCCACATTTAGTTTTTTAAAATCTTCAGATTGTAGAAAAGCCTTCATACCCATTGGACCAGTTATTTCCTCGTCTGTAAAGTAAACCAAGTTTAAACAACTCAAATAACTTATCGTTCTCACCAACCTGGTAGAAATGTCACATGTACAGTGCGTTTCAATGTGGCGCCACTTTTACGCAGCGCTCGTATCGCTGCCAGATATTGCATGCCCACGCATTTCATATCCTGTGACCCACGTGCAAATATTCGACCCTCCTTGTCGATTTCAGCAGCAAAAGGTGGATGTGTCCATTTGTCGGAATAAACTGGCACCACATCCATGTGTGAGTTCAACATAATTGTCGGTAGTTCCGGCTGTTGCCCCACCCATGTAATTACAACAGTTGGCTTCTCCACACTGCCGGGATGATGCACCGCAATTGGCAAACCTAAGTCATTGGCCTGTTTTTTCAGAAACTCCACAGTGGGTGCTAAAAGTATTGAAACTTATTTTACTGATGCGATCTGATTTAATTAATTAAAAACGGACGGAAAGACAGTTATGTAATGGGTCATTCCATGTCAAATCGAAGAATAGTTGGACGCGACCCCCACCGGTGGAAAGTTTTGTTTATCAAAACTTGTATTAAAAATTTCGAAAATTACCAAAATTAAACAATTTTTCAAAATCGCAAAAAGTAACCATCGCGGAAAATTTTGGCCTCAAAATTTTTTTTATTATACCTCTTACATATCTAAAGAGATTCTGAAATTTTCAGAGGAGTGTGCTTTTTCGTTTCAAAAATTTAAATTTTTGAATTTTGGCAAAATAGTTTTTTTCTATATTCAACAAACTGCAACTTTAACTTTTTTTATAAATTATAATTGATGTCAATCAAGTATTATGTAGAGGCTCTCTTGAAGGAGGTGATTCCGAGCATTAGCCCAGTAGTTCTCATTTGGTTAAAACATTTAAGAAAATAATTAAATAAAAACTGAAAGACAGAAATTTGATTCCGTACTCCCAGAATAAATTGTTACATTTAAGCCTTTTTGGTGGACTGACCCCTTTAATCTTTGACGTCATGAAAAAACGTATTTTCTGTCAAAGGCACCCCAAAAGAGTGGCAGAAGGAAATTGTCGTAATCTCTATTTTTGGGGAAGGAAGAAAAAAATGTCATGTGGGTACAAAATTAAGTCTGTACGGCTGATGGTTCACCAATTCGATTTTTGGGTGGTCACAAATTGTTTTCCCTTTTTACATTTAAAAAAAATTGAAGCAATCAATTGGAAATTAAGGTTTGCTTTGGCCTGCTAATTTATAAAATATTTACTGCAATGCTTAAAAAAACTTGTAATATTGAGAATGGTATAAAGTGAGTGCATAAGTAAAGAACGTTCAAACATGCTGTGGTTCTGATAATGCAATTTCTTGAAAGAAGATGGAGACTATGCCAAGCCAATTTGGCTAAAAACATTAATCGTATTTAGCGAATTTAGCTATAGTGGACTCTTTCCTTTTTCTAAAACTGGACGGTATCATCAAAAGACGTTTATCAGAAATGCTTTCAGGAAAATATATCGAACTTCACAAAGGAAAAGCCATGAGGCGCGCTGGACAACAAAAGAAGCGTCTAAGACCATGAATACAAGTGACAAACCGCATAATAAGATTTCCGTACAAAAGATACTATATTAAAATAATATCCACGTAAATAAAGGAATCTAACTGCTTTTATTTGAAATATTTTTTTTATACCCACCATAGTCTATGTCCGGATGTACACTTGGTATTCGCAGATATTCACGAAATATTTCGATCTCTTTATTATCTTTCCAAGAGCTCATTTCAACAGCAATGATAATAACAATTAGCCACTAAGAACAAATCGCTTAGAATAAAACTGAAGTTAATTAAATAACGGTTTTATAATTGGTCTAACATTCGCGTTATCAGTAAAAATTGTAATATTTTGTGTTTTTAAACTTTTTGCAATTTTTGCACTTTCAAGTCCCCACTCTTTCTAAATAAGTTTATTCTTATCTCTGTTATTATCTTTATGATACAATACGCGCATTTAACACAATTAGACTTTCACACTCAAAAAATTCAAATACACCAATTATTTAGCTATGTCCCTTTAAAGAGAACATTAAATACTGAGCACTTGTGGGGATTTGTTTAAATATTTATGAAAATTTATATGGTATGGTAAAGCGTTAACCACTGAAAAATGGACTAAAGAGTGTATTTGAATATGTAAACACTATGTACGAGTATATATTGGTATAGATAAATATAAGGTGACCACAAATAATTTTACTCGACCGCAATACAGTTCCTCTATGTTTGAATATTACGTTTAGCATGTAATTGAAAATGGGGCCATATGTTTTTCAAAGTTTGCTAAGAGTTTGTTTGCGTTTTATGCTTCAATTAGTGTTTGACGGGAATAGAAGTAAATCACATAAGCAGATTTCTGATGCATTTGTGAAGGGCTCTGTCGACACAATAAATGTAATTACAAGAGTTATTTATCCCACAGGGTTGTACCATCTGATCAAATTTGACCTGGACTGGCTCATTAAAATTTCTATTGTATATTAGAAAACCTTTTTTTATGTATGTGTGAAATTTAAGGTTTATCTGGGAAAATGTTGCAAAAGTGTTTTGTTATCACGATCACAAGTATTTGAGTGACGCAAAACTTTCAATGAAGACCTTCAAACTGTCCAACAATTAAGCGAATGGCGCTCCAACAATTAGACGAAACCGAAAAAGCCAAAATTCGCAGAATACAATTAAGACCACCCCAGCCGAGGCTTATGACAAGTAGTTTAAAAATTGGATTGAATGGATAATTTGTATTAAAATGTAGCTTGTTTTATTGTCAGTCGAACGTGAACAAGTTTCTCAGTATAAAAATCACGGGCACTTTGATTCCGAGCAATTTTACCAAATCAAAATTCAAATCCAGTCTAACTATGTTTTTCTCTTTTATGTCATAACTATATGCATATGATTTAACTGCCAATCAACTGATAAGAATCAATCCAAGCATTATCTAAAAATACTGATCAGTAAATATGGGTGGCGGTGACGTTTAAATGACGTTTTATAGCATGTATCTACATTTTAATATGTTTCAATACGTAATTACATTTGAAAACAATTTCACAGTTAATCTACACGAAGTTTATTGCACTCAATTTACAAAAGAATTGAATTATTGTTGCTCTTATCATTGTGACACCACAATTTAACTGAATGATAACGCATATAACAATTATTGTTGTGATAATGCAATGTAAATAGATAGCTGGTATGGGAAAGTAATGCATAAATGCATGTGCAATTACACACATACTTAATTAAATGATATATATAATAAATAATATAATGTCAGACAATCATAGAGAATTCTTTCGGCTTTCCAGCTATACGCTCAAGAGCGATACCAACAGCAAACTTAGTTTTATTTCTTCTTATTTTCCAAATACTTGCAATATTTACCAATATTTTATTTTGAGAAGAAAAAAATATTTATAAATCTATAATTTTTATATTTATCATACATTAATATATATAAATCAATCATTTTAATATTTAACTTAACACCATCAAATCAACAATAATATACAATTAAACAATGAAAATAACTAAACATTTGTAACAGCTGGTATGATTTTTTTATAGTATTCAATTCCTTTCAAGTAAACATCCGCTTGCAAAAATTCATCATGATCATGCAACAAGACGGGTGTGTGGTTCATCGGCGAGAAACCGATGGCTGGAATGCCAACTTGACGAATGTAGCGACTGTCGGTGCCACCGGGGAATACAAGCGGTTTGATTTTCAGGCCACTAAAACAATGAGAAGTTTTTGAAATAAAACAACTCAATCAAGTAAAATTAATAAGTTTAACAAATAGATTAAATACTTACAGCTCCGTTGTTGCTTTTTTGAATGCCAACCAGAAGGGATTGGAATCATCAATTTTCGTGGCTTCTACTTTGGGTTGCTTTTGTTCAAATTTTATTTCGATACCGCCACCAGCTTCCTCGCACCATTTATTAAGCTGTATAAATATGGAGTAAAATATAAATAATTAGTACAAAAGAAATTTAAAAATATATAGATATGTATGTATATGTATCGTGGCAGCATACATTTAAGGCTGTAAATACGAGGACAGTCTGATAACTACTCGTAAGAAAAAGGTTACTGTAGAGTAATACTCTTATTTCAGCCGAATCTTAGTTTTGTGTAGACCGTGTATTGAAGCGAGCGTCGTGTGCGCGTAAATTAGAAAAATTGAAAAAAGAGCAATATCTGTCGATGTTTTGGTTTATGTTTTTGGAAGTGAATTTGCGTAGTCAATCAAAAAGCGTTTATACGACAGCAAAATTTGGTTTTACGAATTTCAAAGTATCCGTCGTCGGCCACCATGGAGGATAACGAGATTCAAGTCCACAATCTCTTATTGACAGCGCGCCCATTGAAGGCTAAGACAATATAATATTAACATACAAGTGCTGCGTTTACCCACTAAGGGAAAAACCCTACGAAATGTTGCCCATATTTGGGTCCGTAAGACTTCATTTTCGCTGCCAAACTCGTCGTTCAGAAATTTTTGTCCAATGAGAAAGTTATATTAACATGAATCACGGACATGCACTCGAATAAAACTAATGATTCGAATGAAAACTGATTACTGAAAATCTTCTAGCTCCTGCTGAAAACCTATAGTTAGTAGAATATAAGCTTATCGAAGGGAACTAACCAAGGGCGAGCTGCATCATATGTCGAACGGACCTGCGGAACTAATATTCTTCCTAGTAAAACAATAGAGTATAAGCATTTCCGAAAGATATTTTTTTGAAAAAATTGCTATTACGAGTTATTTCAGTTATCTCAGAGAGTATTAATAGTTTAACCTTTAAAATTAGAATAGAGGGACTTCGTGTCTCTAACATTGTGAACCGCACCTTTTCCTGTTAATGATTTTTGATCAAGTTCCACATTTCTTTGAAATCTTCATAAAAGTTTCGTAACCATTGCTTGATTTTCCTAAAACCCTATGTGGTAGTACTAAAAAATATTTCCGACTTACCTGTTTCTCGTAGACGTCATGATCAACACTCAACGCCAAGCGCATGTCGAAAACAGCAACCAACGTTGGTGGCACAACATTGCTCTGCACACCGCCATTCAGACTGGTCAAGTTAATAGTGGTGACGTCACCAATTGAAAGCGAACTATCGCTTTCTAAACGCTCCACCTCGCGTTGTCTGAATTCCATCAGTTTATTGAGAATAAAATGAAGTTTCTCACCAACGGTATTTTTATGCAACAGGGAACCGTGACCTGCAGTGCCGCTAAGTATAAAGTGTACATCTGGAAGAAAATTGATAACATAAAATTTATAATGCGGAAATAAATATATACATATAATAAGGAAAGCATTCGATTCTTACGCCAAATGCTGCGTTCCGCATAGTAAACTGGAAAAGTTTCATCGGCCGAAGCGATGCCTTCGTCAAGCGAGAAGCCAACATTTAATTTTTTATATTCATTCGATTGGACGAACACGCGCATGCCCTCTGCGCCACCGATTTCCTCATCTGTAAGTATGTCATCATTTTATAGTCATGTTTATTATTTGATAAAAGGTTTATCATAAATGCGAACGTGACACCAACAAATCATAAAGCGCTGTATTATACCATGAGATTAATAATCTTACGCGATGTTTACGATCACATTCATATGTACATATATTCATATTCACAATTACTTACCTGGCACGAAAATCACGTGAATGGTACGCTTTAAGATCACATCGTTTTTACGCAGCGCCCTTATCGCGGCCAGATATTGCATGCCCACGCATTTCATGTCCTGTGCGCCTCGCGCAAATATTCGGCCTTCCTTGTCGATGTCGGCAGCGAATGGTGAGTGGGTCCACTTCTCGGGAAACACCGGCACCACATCCATGTGTGAATTTAAGACAACCGATGGCAAATCTGGTTGTTTTCCTACCCATGTTATGATAACAACCGGTTTTGTCGGACCCGCGGGAGAGTAAATTTCAATAGGTAGTCCCAAATCGATAGCCTGACGTTTCAGAAATTCCACGCAGGGCGCTGAGGGGAGTGATTTATTTGGTGAGTTTTTGAATTCAAGGTGGTTTAGAGAGTGTTTTGAGGCAACCGTTTTTATAGTACACAGAAATAAGGATGCTAAACTTTAGCAAACCTCAATAGTTTTTAGGTGTACGCTGAAGAATTTTTTAGTATAGAAACTCTTTGAAATTGGTAGATCTTTTGCTATGGTTTTAGATCAAGTTACTCTATACTTATGATGGAAATATGAGCTGACAACAACCGGATGCGATGGACAGTGGCAGACAAAACCTATGTAGTTTATAAATGGCATAACCGGCGACTCTAACTGATAGCAGATTTTCGATGACGATATTCGGCGAATTATTGAAAAATAATAATACAAATTGTTGGCAACTAACGGCGCTTCAGATCTGCAAAATTTAGTTTCAAATATGGTCAAACCGAAAGCTTATAGAGAAGTTAAAATTAATCACATTTTGATTTCTTGAGGACAATAAACTTTTGAGGATCTCGCGTGAAAAATGGCACTGGTTTCTATAACAATGGACAAATTATGAAAATCAGATTTGAAAAACGGCAATAAATAATACTGAAAAGTAAAGATTGAGTTTTAAAGTTGTCACTGAAGAAAGAGATTCCTCACTATTATGATTATCGGACTCGTCCATACCTAACCTGACTCTTATATCATACATTTGTTTGACAACAGAATGTAAAAATTTCCAGCTACAATTGCCTTCTAATTTTTGGTACATATATCCACTTTATACTTACAATAATCAATGTCCGGATGCACACTTGGTATACGCAGGTATTCACGAAATATTTCGATCTCTTGATTATTCTCCCAAGAGCTCATTTTGTCGGCAAACTCTGTATACAAAGCAATTAAAGTTACGAATTTCAGGAACTAAACACTATTTTTAATAAAGTTATAGAGAACTGTAAGTTGACAAACGGATCAAAGTCGCTTAGATTTTTAAAAATATAATAGATGATCAATATGTTCTTTGAAGTAAGATCTTGATAGAAGATACAACTTTTCAAAAAGAAAATAACAACTGTTATGCTATCAATTAAAATTAAAATTAAATATTCAATATCATCCTGAAAAATGTGGTGTTGCTTCTAGAGTAAGTAGCAACTTGTAGACGTAGGAGCAAGGCCCTGAGATCCACATATTCTAGCAGTGAACGCATCGACTCTCCTAGCACGATACTTCAATTTATAGGGGTGTTGGAGCAAAGTGAGTTCTTGCACATATGTTTGTATGAATATTTTCGAAAAAATTTTAAAGCCAAATTTTTTCATAATTTTACCACTGGTCATCAAAATTAAGTGCCCATTGAAACACTTTTAGACCATCGCGACATTCCCACGATAGCTACCAAATTGACCTAAATTTGCATCCGGTCGGGGAATGCCATTCCAGCGACATTTAGCAAACGCTTGTTTGTGGCTAATGAATTATATAGTTACTACTACAATAACAATAGTAATTGAAAATCACATTGGATCAATTCTTCATTGTGCACCGGTAAATATCATAATTAACACATCCAAACATCGTTTTTATGCGAAATGTCGGCACACTTTTCTATATTGAATAACTCTCATGATTAATCCAAATACATTCAGTAGGTATATACATATGTACGAGTATGGTATGTATGAATGTATGTTAATCGCGAGCGAAACTAGCAAAAACCCATATTGACTTTAATTATCCCACAACTAAAAACAAAAGAGCTGCAATGGGTGACACTCGAAGCTTTTTAGGACAACATTGCGATCGTTGCGACCAACGTCAATTTTTAGATGGAAAACAGAATAAACTTAGCTCTTTATCGTTTGTAATATAGTAAACACAAATTTTTTGGAAAGTGAAACATTTTATAAAGTTTACATTGGCCAGAAACACTACCAAATCACCTTCTTATATCGTATTTTATTAAGTAATATCGGAATAGGCACAGTCTTTTGCGCGTTATATATTTTTTCTCATAAATCAGCTGTGTTTGCGTAGGAAATACGTTTTTTTTACTACACTTTCTTTAATATATTTGCAAACTACGAATCGCGAAGACTCTTTTAATACTGGAGAGTTGGACCGATACGTCAGAGTATTTAAGCATTTTGCGCCGGCCGATAAGTAGACGTACGTTTTACGAATGCTCATGCGAAGCTATGAGATCTGCGAGTATGATGCCGTCAACGTGTGATAGACCCTTTAGGGAAATGCATTGGTTATTTGTAATGTTACTCGAACAATTTAACGGCAAGTTAAGATGATAATGTATTTGTATTAAAATTTTTAAAATTAGGAATTTTGTATATACATAAAATTAATTTATTCTGTAGCAGGTTTTATATTTGAAATAAGAATTTGGTGTATTTTTTGACCTTTCCAAGATAGTATATACAATATATTACTTTCCCGCAAAAAGCAGAATCAGGCTATTTCAATTAGACGATTTTTTATTATGACAACCAGCTGGCAATGCCTTTTTTCCCGTTATTTATAATATATAGAAATAAATGAATGTAGGTATGTTAATGATATTTAATTAGGTTATAAATATATATATTATATATACTATATAATATAATATCCACTGTAGTGCCGTCGTTCCACGAATTTGTGATATGCCTCATAATCATATAAATCTTTTTTTTCTTGAAAAACACGTTCCAAGTGATTATTTGAACACAGCACTTTAATCACTCACGAATCACCAAATAAATATTTAATTTATAAAAATTTTCACTGTGATTAGTCATTATAATCACCAAAATTCACGAATACAAATTTACGACCAGTGAAGTTTTTACCCTCCTACGAAATTATTAACTATGACGTCTGGCTGTACTTTGGCAGAGCCTAATCAAATAGCCAAACAATCACGAAAATTTTTAAGTTCAATTTTTGACATGTACCCAAGTCTACTTCGTTTACTTACTACTTACTTCGTTGCCCAAATGGACCACCTGTTTATCAAACTTTTGCAGAATAGTTATGAGATATTTGAGAGTTATAATGGATGGGTCCGATAATTATTCATTACATATTTCTTAAGAAGGACATGCTATGATAACAATATAATATAGAAATCATAAAGCATAATAAGCTATTGACCAAGAATGACGAATCGAAGAAACACCTGAACAGGATATATTAAGTTTGCTACGAAGTTTGCAACACCCAAAAGGAAACGTCGGAGAGCCTATAAGATATACATATGTATATAGCAATGATCGGCATTAGGTCTTGAGTCGATTCAGCCATGCCCGTCTGTACATGCTCGACAGTTTTTTAAATATCGATCTGATATTTTGCACACGGTCTTTTCTTCCCCAGAAGCTGCTCATTTGTTCGAACCACCGATATCGGAGCACTATAGCATATGGCTGCCATACAAATTGAACGATAAAAATCATGTCCTAGTATGCAAATATGATTATTTAAAAAGATATATTCACCAAACCTGGCATAGATTATTACCCAAGGCAACGGTACAATCTCCGAAGATATTGTTCAGTTCAGATCATTATAACATATGGCTGCCAAACAAATTAACCGATCAAAATCAAATGAAAGGTATCTTATTTTTTAAATAGAAATATATTATTTTTTTTTTTTTAATGTTAAAATTATAACGTGTTTTTTAATCATTTTAATTAAATATACCACACCAATCAAGCTATTTTCTTTTTTTTTTTGAACCACCATTACTCATGCTTAACATACTTTTCTGTTTAGGCATTTCTCTCTTGAAAGCAATGTTTTGGTTTATCTACCATATATACCTATACCCCAAAGACAAATTTGAATTATAAGCACATAGCTTATATACATACTAATATGTACATATATAAATTTTACGATTATTTAAATTCCTTATAAATCTTATCACAAGAGATTTAGAGAAGCATGAAGTTGTATGGATTCATAAAAGTTATATTAAGCACTCAGACGTCTTTTATATAGTTATAACTGACAAATAATAACTGAAAATTGTAAAACTTAATTTTGAATGATTCTTGGCTAGTTGTGTACGTTACTTATAACAAGTATAGTATACATTAGTGTGCGTCCATACTAAGATAAATACACAGCCACCTTTCTTCTCAAAGTTAAAGCAAACATTTGTTTAGTTTCTTCTATTTTTGTTTTTATTATTTTTATTTTACTTTATTTTTTGTTGAGAAAATGCAAACCGGCATATAATACATTGAGCCGAAATAAAAACAACAACCACCTGTAAACATTTCCTTCTCAGCATATGACAAAAGTGAGAGAGAAATTAAAGATATAGTGAGAGCATGATCACTTTAGCAATTAAAAGGAATATTTTACTCTTTGTTGCATTTAATTTAAAGTTTTAATTTTTAAGAGCAATTCTCTTTTGATTTTCAATCAAAGTGTAATTTTTTAATAATTTAATTTTAAATTGTTGTGAGATAATATAAATTATTGGCAGATTTCGTAATGTAGAATAAAAAAAAAGTAAAATTTTTCTAACACAAACTGTCAAAAAATTAATTCGTTTTTAATTTATTTATATTGTAGTTTCAGAAGCAAAATTTTTTGATGAGATTTAGAGATGGCAGGGGCAAGTTAGAAAGTTCGTATTGTTTTACACAAAACCATTTTTCTCTTAAAATTCAATTTTATTATTCAACTTGCATCAACTTTTAATTATCGTCATAACTATTTATTATTTTTTTATTTCTTCAAAATGGACCTCAGTCTCTGACTCTTTCTTTCCTGAGATTTGAGAATCTGAAAATGTCGATGAGAACCAAATCTGGCGAACAACGGTTTCATACTCAACTCATGCATTTTGCGATCGTTTTCATTGCTTTGAGACACGGTGTAATATTTTTTTTGATAGAGCAGTCCTTCCTTCGTTTTTGAGTGGAGCCTTTATTCTGCAATTTCATACTTCAAACGTTCCAATAAGGCTATAGAATAGTTATTCTTATTTTTCAAGACAATGTTTGAAAATAATTCCAAAATATAAATGCCACAGCTTTGCTAGCTGACTGTTGTGTTTTTCCAAATTTCGGATTCGGTTCATTCCGTACAGTCCACTCGGATGATTTCCGAATAAAATGCCTAATAAATATCATTGATTGCCTAATATCGAATCAAAAATTTGGTTTAGTTAGCATTAAACTGCCCCAAACACTGCTCAGAATCATGAACTCGTTGTTATTTTTGCTCGATTGGGAACTCGTGCCCTCGGTATCGTTTCATATTATGTGGATACCTTAATAAAATGTCATATATTGTTTTATTCCCGATTTGATTATGCTAGAATATTGTGATTTATGCTAGTTGCTTATCGATTCGCCACTCTTCAAGCTTTGAGGAATTGAAAATTACTACCAACCACTTTAATCAGATTGATCTATAAACATGCTTTAGAAGCACCCTAAGCTTATAGCATTGGCGGTTTTAGTGCGACTTAGTAGTCTTTTCGAACTATTATTTTAACAAATCAACCATCGCTTGAAAATCGGACTACAAAAATGCCTTATGTTGCACATTTACAGTATTTTGCGAGCTATAACTCACATTAAATATAAAAATAATAATAAAAAAAAATTAAATAATAAACCGTTGTTATTATTTTGTATTAAATTATGTATTAAAAGTATAATATGCAACATAGCGAACAAGCGCGAATCAACATGACTTCTAGCACATTCATCTGGATAAAAAGTAAGTGTTATTACTTGTCTTAAATGCGCTATCAGATAATCTCGATAATCTCAAGAAACTGCTGAGTAATATTATTTAGATATTTTACTTTATTTTGAACTTATACATGCACCAATGCAAAATTATACGTGCCTCGTTATTCAATGAGAAAACCACAAAAACTAAACCAACCAGTTGCATGAGAGGTAGTGAGTTTGTTGTATTAGTTGTTGTTTATACTTATAGTTGTAGTTGTATAAGTAAATTAGGGGCACATAAATTTAAATAAATTAACTAAGTAAATCCGTTGATCAAACGCAACTTGTTGAAATCGTTCTACTTGTATTCATTCGTTGCTGCAGTTAATCTCACCTATGTACTGAAGTGATATGTGCATGGTGACAGACCCAGTAGGAAAATAGTGAACTTGTGAAACGGAAAATGAGTTTTTAATTAATTGTGTTTAAGAAATAGTTAATAGTGAATTTATTAAGCGGTGTTTATTATTTTTGGATTGAAAGTGTTGCCATATCGGCGAAAATAGTAGTTAGTTGTATCTATTGTAGATTTAGTAGAGAGCATTTATGACTGGAAAATTTGATTTCAGCTAAAAGTTGTAGCTTTTTTTGTTGAAAGATCAAATTGAAGTTTAGGTTAATGAATCTTTTTAATAAAAAAAATTATACTGGCATGAATCAATAAAATGTTAATTATTTTAAGTTGACTTAAGTAAAAGAAGCCGATTTGATTTATTCTGACTTCCAGCTTATAAGCGAGTCGGCGTGGTGTTTTATCCTAGGTAATTACTTTGTAATAGTAATTTACTTAGTAATTTTAGTATATTGAATGGGATATATTATTATATTTAGTCGCTTTCTTAAGGAAGATTCGAAATATAAAATAGTAATGATTTTTTTTGAAGGGATATATACATAATAGGCTATTTTAGAAAAATATGCATCGAAATTTTTTTATTTGAAAGTTATTTAAATTTAATATTAAATAATTACCTTACCGCTTCTCTACTTACTACAATACATTCAAATTGATTGAAATTTGACAATCCGAATGCCGAAAGAAAGCAAAAAATAAAATCTACTGTACTGCTGCTTTGCTGAAACGCATTCGAGTTTTATTTACTTTTTCCATAAACTATATTGCTCAAGTTTCACAGATATTTCCTACAGGGTGTTGTGTATGTATATATGTACAAGCAAACTAGCAGTTGAAAAATTTGTGTACTTAGAAATCCCAGTGATGAGAAGAATAAGAAAACTTTACTACGACGATTTTGAAATCCATAGAAATAGATGTTCTTTCAAGTTCTTAGCGAATTAACAAATTGGAAAAAGCAGTAAAGAATCGGTATGATTCTTTTGCGATTATATAGATTTTCTTTGTCGAAAAGTTGAAGTGTAACTTCATAATGAATTTGTAAGAAATTACTAAAACAGTTTCTAAGAATTATATTCAGATTATTCCTGCTCCCAAAGAATTGTTTAGAATACCTATTATGGTTGATGATATACATACATAGATATAGCTATCGAAAAGCTGATAGACTTATATCTACTTTTGTGATAAAAAAAAATATTTTTATGACAGAAATACATTCGGTGGTTTGATATTGGCCAAAGTTTTATTTTATTATTTATTATAAGTTTATTGCCTCGATTTCTTTTGAAAAATATAGGTATTAATTAATTTAAAAGTTCCATTAATTTTTTATAAATCAAATACCAATAGCACTTCCAAACCTCACCGAATTATCATAAACCCCTCATTAACTAGTTACCAACTAGTAACACATTGTACTTAAACGAAATGAGTTCACTACCAAACTTGCAGCAACCCACCACTGGGTATGGTAGAAAAAGACAAATTGATGTAAATTTTGTTTAAATAACTTAAAACGCTGGATCGTTGTTGGAAATTGTATTCAGTGCATTGTTGAGTCTCGGTGTTGAACGCTGTTCTAAAGCAAAACAAAACATGGCGACAAAAACAGATTGGGAGGCGAATGAGGAGATACAATATTTTCAAGAATATCTACGCATTCCAAGTGTACATCCAGATCCCGATTACGGTACCTTTCGAATACAAATTTGTATGCTTATTATCACTATATTTTCTTGCTTTGCCAGAGCCATGCGTGGCATTTTTGAGAGAACAAGCCAAACTGCTCGATTTGCCGATACAAGTACACTATCCCGTTAACGAGCGCAATCCTGCGGTGATCTTGACATGGCAAGGTCAGGAGCCCTCTTTGCCGGCAATCTTATTACACTCCCACATGGATGTTGTGCCAGTATTTGTGGAGAATTGGACGCACCCGCCGTTCGGTGCTGAAATCGATGATGAAGGACGAATATTTGCACGCGGCACACAAGATATGAAATGTGTGGGCATGCAGTATCTGGGCGCGATTCGTGCTCTCAAGCAGAGCGGAGCAAAATTCAAGCGCACAATTCACATATCGTTTATCGCAGGTGGGTGTATGGATGTTCATGTGTGTGAGAGATTAGAAAATATCAATTAGAAGTGATTCTATGAGAGGGAGTAAATAGAGATACCGTAATTACACAGATGAGAGCTAGCCATTTGTTTTCATTAACTAATCTGCGAGTAAATCTAGAATACTAATATTTCTGTGTAGTTAGCGCGTAATAGATGTACATATAGAGCGTGTTTCACAAGAGTTTCTCATATGAGGGACATTTTGACGATTAAGTGGTAAGTAAGTTAAGTGGATTCTCACAAAATTTAGCACCTGTTTTGTTGATATCACTGAATTTAGAAAAAACAAAAACATATGTTAACTTTAGCTGCATCGCAGCTATAATACCCTTCACAAGTGCATTTTTTATAGTAAAAGAGATTATAAAATGAGCTTTATCTTGATTTTGATCGGCCAGTTTGTATGGCAGTTATATGCTATAGTGGTCCGATCTGAACAATATATTTGCTGGTAATCTGTGCCAAATTTCATGAAGATACTTTGTCCAATAAAAAAAAAATTTCATACAAGGACTTGAATTTGATTGGTCAGTTTGTATGACAGCTATAAGCTATAGTAGTAAAATATAGGCGGTTCCGTCAAATGAACAGCCTCATGGTGATAAAAGGACGTGTACACAATTTCGGATCGATATCTCGAAAATTGAGCGACTAGTTCGCATATGACATAGCTCGTCATGGTTATCGTTTATATATATATTTTATAAGGTTTCCGAAAGTATTATACCCTAACAGGGGTATATTAAGTTGCTGGTTACTTATTTTCTACAGCAGCTTATATAATCCTAAAATTACAAAAGAAAAAAAAACACTTTAATACATAATATCTAAAGAGTTCCTCAAAGCTGGCCCAGACAAAAAAATGCAGTTAACCAGAAAACAAAGGAAACACTATAAGAGATTAATCAAGTTTTTATTTTTTTTCTACACACCCTAACCCTCAAAAGTAAATATCTCTCACCTGACATAAGATATTATTAATTCCAAAAAATAGCTGTTTTTTGTTTTTCCTATTAAAAATTTTATTATTCACAGAACAATATACAAAAGATTCAGCTATTATTCTATTTTTTCTAAAATTTGATGTTTCAACTTTTATCTTTTAATAATATTTTTTTCCGTTTACACATTATTCGTTTATTCTAACATAAAAATTATATTCTATTCCCACCAACAAGTTCTAAATATATACTACTCAAACATTTTTTAAGTAACTATAAAGAAAAAAAACAAATTAATTAACTCACTATTTTACATAGATGAGGAAATGGGTGGACGTTATGGCATGCGCCCATTTGTACATACCGCAGCATTCAAAAATCTGAACATCGGATTCTCACTAGACGAAGGTCTAGCATCGCCCACCGACGTGCTACCCGTTTTCTATGCCGAGCGGAGTGTGTGGCGTAAGTACTATATACTTACATTGCAATTATCACAAGAGTAAGACAGGATGCTAAAATAACGTCACCTTTCTCAGGTATATATTTCCAGATTTCGGGCACAGCTGGCCATGGTTCACTACTCTTGAAGAACACAGCTGGCGAGAAACTGAATTATATTGTCAATAAAATGATGTCCATGCGTGCGCAAGAGCTACGCAAGTTGGAAAATAATCCGGAATTAACTATTGGCGATGTGACCACAATCAATTTAACGCGTGCTGGCGGTGGAGTACAAAGCAATGTTGTGCCGCCGTTGTTGATGGTTTGCTTCGATGTGCGCTTGGCGATTGATGTGGATCAAGTGGAGTTTGAAAACAAGGTAAATTCAATAAAAGTTATTTAAAAATATTTTTTAAGATTGTACTTTCGACTTTTCTTCATTCCACTAAGCTTCATCAATGGTGTAACGATGTTGGCGGTGGCATTAAGCTTGAGTATGAGCAAAAACGTCCACGTGTCAACCCAACACCGACAGATAAAACTAATCCTTTTTGGGTGGCATTTGAAAGTGCCACCCGTGAGTTGTAAGTTTTTGCAAACTATTTTTTTTTTTATGTAATTTATATATTTTTTTACCAGGGACTTAAAAATATCTAAACAAATTTTTGCTGGCGGCACCGATAGTCGTTATATTAGAGAAGTTGGTATACCAGCTTTGGGTTTCTCACCGATGAACCACACTCCAGTGTTGTTGCATGATCACGATGAATTCATAAGAGCAGATACGTATTTACGTGGAATTGAGATTTACAAGAAAATTATATCAAAATTAGCTGAAGCTTAAATTAGCATATTATAAATATATATGTATATCTATATATCATTGTTATATATTTGTAAAAAGTAAGTGAAGAAATGTATAAAATATACGTACTCTCCTACCAAAAAAAGTCTTTAAAAACACGGCCGTCTTGCATATTTACTATTTACTTACTCATGGAAATTCTAATGTATTTGTTGGTATGGATGTGTATAAAAATCCGCGGTTAGAGAGCTAATATAGTTTTCTTTCGTTTAGACATATAATTTAGACACCTAATTTACAAAACCGCACTCTTAGATACATTATAAACACTTAAATTACCGATTAGGAAATAGGAAACGGAATTCGCGATTATTTCCGTAAGCAGCGTACCGAAAGCAATAAATTGTGCCACATTGCCACTTACACAAAATTGCAGCATATTACTAAGGAATACAACTTAACAGATTGTGTTAGCAATGTACAATGTTGTTCCGTTATTGGATATAATAAACTATAAAATTATAAATATTTCTTTACAATTACTTCGCATTAACGTTTTACAAATGCTACATATTTTTATGAATATTTTCTTACTCTTCTTTAATAATATGAATCATTCACAATAAATACATATGCCGTTAACAAGGTTGTATTTAGTACAGAAATGAATTTAAATCAAATAATTTAAAATAATTTTATTGCAAAATTCTTTAATTATCCAAGGTTTAAGAAAAAATATAAAGTAACAGAAAATATGCTCAAATATATATTTTTTAAGGAATATATATATTTTAAGGAAGTACATATTGCAGAAATATTATATATTATTATTATTTTTTGAACATCGGCAATAAATGTGTTTATAAAAGATTTATTTGTTTTAACACGTTATTTTATATATGCTTTATTAATATAGAATTCACTATAGAACCAGAGAGCTCCTTCTAAGTTCTCTGACTGAACAGCATTATTTACTTCTGTTGCAGCGACTTTCTATTTCCCACCAGCTGGCAGCACCGCACAAACACTCGCTCAAGTTGTACATAAGTAAAGAAAGTGTCAGAATAGCGCTTTGTTATATACACTTTTTTTGTCGTCTGCGAAGACGAATTCGTTTTGCTACTACGAAGTTAAAACAGATTATTTAAATATTCGAGTGTTATTCAAAAGTGAATCAATGTTAAAAATATAAGGTGTTGCATATTTTGCATTACAACAATTTGAAAATCTTGCTCCAAGCAAGAGAAACGCATTTTTTCCATAATCGGAACGTGAGACCAAAGCGAACGGGCGTCAGATCAGACGGCAGCCAAATTAAGGAACAAAGCTAAAATGGTGTGAAAATATTACCGGAGACCGGGTTTTTAGTGTGCATCGGTCGTTTTTAGCTGAGTGATTTCGTTAATTTTGCGTTTTCATTTTCAAGATTTGTTTTATTTAGATTGTGTTAATTTTAAGGAATCTTCGATTTTTCACAATTAATACGTTTCACATATATACCAGTATATAAACAAAAGGCTAAGGTAAGTCTACACACGTATGAGTACTTCCTTATTTACAACTATGCACATATGCATGTACATATGTATGTATATTGATATGTGTTATTAGGTAAATATTGCATGCATATGTAGCAATTGAAAGTCATTTATATTATTTTTACTGCTTTGTTGATTTATTGACGCACTAAGTGCCATTGACCGCTGAAAGTTCTTTGCCACATGCAGATGTTGCTTTCGGTTGGCTTGCCAAACTATATTAAACAAGTATTAATTTAGTAAAACAAAAAAATCTGTTAAAAAATATCTTAAATAATAGCTCGAATATCCATAAGACGCTAAATTATATTAAGCTGCTAACATATAAAATTGCCACCCTCTCGCAGCAGAAAATTTCAAGCAAAACATGTAAAAGAAAATTTGTTTAATGACGTGTGTAGAACGATGCTAATACTTTTATTTTTTATATAACATATAAGTAATAACAATAATCTCAAATTCATTAAAATTTATATCGATTACTTATTTAAAAACTCATAAATTTTACTTTCATTTGTAGTTATGTCATCAACCGCCAGCAAAAGAAAAGAAATCTACAAGTACTTAGCGCCATGGCCGCTATATTCAATGAACTGGAGTGTTCGTCCCGACAAACGTTTCCGTTTGGCGTTAGGTAGTTTTATAGAGGAGTACAACAACAAGGTGCAAATTATCAGCCTCGATGAAGATACCAGCGAATTCAGTGCTAAGAGGTAATGGGATAATTAAGGCATTTTATTTATACATGACTAAGTTTCTAATTTATTTTTCAGCACTTTCGACCATCCATACCCCACGACGAAAATAATGTGGATACCAGATTCCAAGGGAATCTATCCTGACTTACTAGCAACCAGCGGTACTAGACAACTCTAAATATAGTGTTTGTTATATAACCACTATATACAATACATGAACATTTTAAATTACAGGTGATTACTTGCGCGTTTGGCGTGCTGGTGAGCCGGACACACGACTAGAATGTATACTTAATAACAACAAAAATAGTGATTTCTGCGCACCACTGACATCTTTTGACTGGAATGAAGTAGACCCGAATTTAGTTGGTACCTCATCCATCGATACGACGTGTACAATCTGGGGCTTGGAAACAGGGCAACCCCATGGACGAGTCTATGTATCTGGACATGTTAAAACACAGTTGATTGCGCACGACAAAGAAGTCTACGACATAGCCTTTTCACGCGCCGGCGGTGGACGTGACATGTTCGCATCGGTGGGCGCCGACGGCTCCGTTCGAATGTTTGATCTGCGACATTTAGAACATTCGACCATTATTTATGAGGTAAGCGGCCAAACATTAGATTTTTTGTAAAATTGCTTTATTTTTATAAAATTTTGTTATTAGGATCCAACGCATACGGCTTTACTACGTTTAGCCTGGAATAAGCAGGACCCAAATTATTTGGCCACAGTAGCGATGGATTCATGTGAGGTTATTATTTTAGATGTTCGTGTTCCTTGTACACCAGTTGCAAGACTGAGCAATCATAGAGCGTGCGTTAACGGTATTGCGTGGGCGCCGCACAGGTAAATTGTTTTTGTTTTTGTAAAAGAGCAATCTTATTGGAAAATGCATACCATTTGTTCTTTGAATAGTTCCTGTCACATATGCACTGCCGGTGATGATCACCAAGCACTGATCTGGGATATTCAACAAATGCCGCGGGCGATTGAAGATCCAATATTAGCGTACACAGCCGCTGAAGGCGAAGTGAATCAAATACAATGGGGCGCGACACAGCCCGATTGGATAGCGATTTGCTATAAGAAAGCATGTGAAATACTGCGTGTCTAGAAAAGGCGTACGTTAACTTCGAATATACGCATGCGCACATACATACGTCGACGCCTCACATTTTCAACAGCAACCAAAACAACAACAACAAACAATTTCTGTAGCGCATCTGACGATAATTACAAATATAGTTACTTATATATATTTTTGCGTTTGACAGTTGAGTAACAAATGTAAACACATCAATCAACCGGCGATGCTTTGCAGCTAGACTTGCTAACTTTGTTCATTTTATTCAAATATGTAATTGCCTGTATTTATTTGCTTTAGTTTCTAATACACATATAACTTTTAAGTTTAACTTAAGTTTAGCAAAAAGAAAAATACACACAAATAAAAATTGGATACCGTTTTTATTTTACAAAATTCCATACCATTTTTTTTATTTTACCGCTATTTACCCATACACCTACATACATTCATACAAAATAAGAGTTATGCATATAAAGCAAATCCTCATGTATAAGCTGTTTATATTTTTATATTTGTTAACAAATCCGCCTGTATTGACAGCTGACAGCTGACCTTTATGGTGAGCTGTCCGTTATTTTTGTTTACAATTACAAACTGACAGCTAACGTATACAATACTGAATCTGAATCTGAATCCGATTAAAGTATACATGTACTGAAGTCAACAGTGCTGTGTGTGTGTGTGGCAGCGTGTATAACACTAAACCATTTGTAATTTAACATTTCATTGTATGTACTATATTTCTTACGACCTCTGCAATTCACGTACACATAATGTATAATTACATACATACATACATACCGATTGCAGTGACTCAAAAGCGATTAAGATTTAAAAAGCAAAACACTTATATAAATATAAAAAATGAAGCAGTGGAAAAGTGACTAAACCTAAAATTAGCCTAGCAATACGAACTATACATTTATACATACATAACATGAGCCAGAGCCACATCAATAGAACTGATTACAACTTACTAAAACTAATTATTACTTACTCGTAAATGCAATAAAAACAAAAAGAAAAAAACAACAACAAAAAACAAATAGTATATATATATATATATATATATATATATATAATTCTAATTTTCTTTATATATTATATCAGCAATGCGAACCGAATCGAAACGTAAATGAACTACACACACGAAGAAGTAAATAATAATAATAAAAAAAATAAGAGCAAATAAAAATAGGTGCACAGACTAAGTAATAAATATGTAGAGTAACTGAAATTTCAAATGGTACCATTAACAGAAACAAAACAACAAAAACAAAGAAATCCAACTTAAAAAGAAATACAATTTAACAATATTTTGCGAGAGAGAAAACAAGATTGTTGCCAAAACCAAATGAGTAAATAAAAATAAACAAAACAAAAAAAAAAAAACCAAAACAACAAGAAACAAAAGACAAAAAGAAAAACAAACAAATCAACAAAAGGATGCAAAGAAATTCAAATACACATGACTAGCAACTAAAGACATAGAATAGAAGTGCTCCCTAACAACAACAACAACAAAATGAACAACCACCTGCTAAACAACAAATAAAAGATGTGTATGTAAATTTATAAAAAAAAAACAGTTCATCGAATGTATGTACTATATTTTCGCATATACATTACTTACAAAAGGTTTCGTCAATAAATTTTGAAGTCAAGAGACTGTTATTATTTCATAAAACACAATTTTTTGCAGAAAATGTTGTTTATCTCAATTTCTATAGTTATTGAAATCAATTGTTTAAGCGTATAATGCAATTTTAATGTATAATGCATTAAATAGTATTTTTTATTGTATTTAATTTTGTTTTAGTTAGCCATAAGATTTTCGAAAATGCGTTTTCCTTTTACCTTAAAGTCTTTTAAAGCCTAATATATGAAATTTAGTTTTTTTTTTGGAAAACGAATTGTTTTCATTGAAGATTTAGTTCTGAAATCGTTAAAAAAATTGCTTAAGATAATTTCCAAAAAGATTAAACTCAAAAAAATTAAGAGATTCAATCAGTTAAAGATATAGATATTCATATTTATACATACATATATTTCTCCATGCACAACTTATACCTACATACATCCATATATTAAATATATTATATATATTTGACATTTATTATAAAAAAGTTGAAAACTTATGTGGAATTTTAATTTTTTTATTTCGCCATTTTTTTTTCAAAGTTTTAACTAATAATAATAACTTTTTCTCATATCAAATATAAATTTGTATGTATATACATACATACATTATGTGTTAGTATCTTTTTGCCAATTAAAAAAAAAATTAGGATTTTCTTTGCCACTGACAATTTTTTTTTTATAGATTTTAATAAGATCTGACACTATTTTTAACATACTTGTATATATACATATGTGAATTCCTTACAAAAATATAAGAAAATTAATTATATTTATTTTCGAAGTTCAAAAACATTTTTATTTTCCAAAGTTTCAACTAAAAATTATAACTATTGCTTATTTCAATTATAAATTTATATATGTATGTATAACTATGTGATTATATGCTTTTCTTGACTTTTGAATAAAAAAAATATTTAGAGTTTTTTTTGCTGCTGGAAAAATACACTGATTTTAATAAAATTTAAGGTTATTTTTTATAAATATGCTTATGAGTTCCATATATAAAAGTTAAAGATATTTATTTTCGAATTCCACAAAGTTTTGAATACATATGAACACACAAGTTTGATAAAATTCATTAATTTAAGACTATAGAATTTAGCAACCAATTATTATTTTTTTCAAATTTTCTCGTTTATTTATTAATTTTAATGAATTTTATGCGGATTCAACGCTAAATATTATTTTCGAAATTAATTTGGAATTTTGTTCAACAGCTTTATGCTGAAAATTTTTCACTTTAAAGTGTGGTATTGAAGTTATCAGGTCTTTATGACACACAACGTTTGAAATTATTAAAAAAAAAAACTTATTTAAAAAATTTGATGAAAATTTGTTTTTGAATATTATTTGAAATTAAATAATTAAAAAAATTTTGCAGTTAAAATATATCAAGAAAAATTTATTTACCGTTTTTTTATAAATTAATTAAAGACACTATGGATACAGTGAAAATTACTTGTGTCGTAGCATACTTTTCGGCGTGCAGCCAATTAGATTACATTTGATATAGCGAGCATCTAGAAACTCGTATTTCAGTTACACATTACATTTGTGTTCAGTCTTTTACCGCTTCTGGAAATGTTTTAATAAAAATCACACTATTTCAACTTTCGAACAACCCTAATGCTCCATCACCTGCATAGCCATAACCACAATAAAATATCGAAATAAATTTCTCACGCACATTCTATATGCATACATACATATATAAATGTAAATTAGTATAACCGCTGTAAATATACATACATAACTGCAATAAAATATATAGAATACACAAGCCATACATACATACATACATACAAACATACTCGTGCATAGATACATAACCTTCGAGTAAAATAAATCACCGAAAAAAATTAAGTACATATTTATTTTGTATGAAGAAAATTAAATAAAAAACAGAACAAAAAATATTAAATTAGATTTAGCATTAAGAAGCAATCGATATGTAGAAGAGGAAGAAGAACAAGAGAACAAAACAAAATATCTAAACAAGAAAAGGAGAAGATTAACAACTCAAATTCAAAGTTGATTTCAAACGAATATTTTACGCCTTCAGATATCAGTATGTTAAAGAGATACAGACCTACTTTACATTTTTTACAAAAGCAAACCGAAAACCAGAAACAAAAACAAAACAAAAGCAAAAGCAAAACAAACAAAAATGCAAGAAATAGATAAAATCTATTATTTTTATGAGTATGACTACAAGGAAGCAAAAATAAAAGCAGTGAGAAAATTAAAAAAAAGAAAAATGAAATGAAAATAAAATAAATTACAACAACAACAGTTGGGCATAGACACATACTTAGAAAGCAGCAAGCAAGATGTGAAATTAATTTTTAATTGCAATTTTTAAAGCAATAATTTATTATATATAACGGATCGATAGCAAGAACCACATTTTTGATTACAAAAACAAAAGCAAAAAATACAATAAAAGTAAGCAATTAAGCAAAATAACCAAATAACAAGAACAAGTGCAGCTGAATTTATAATTTTCTAAAGGAAATCAAACAAAAAGACACAGACCAATGAAGAAGGGGGTAACAAAATACATGAAAAACGAAAATTCGAAAAAAAACCAATTATTATATATAGAATTCGTAATACTACACAGACTCACATACACATATGTACAGAGTGCATATGTATGTATGTGCAGTCACATAACAGGACATCAAAAGCAAAATTTGAAATTTTCATTTCGCATTCACAAGACAAAAAAGGACACCAGGCGCCTCATAAAAGTATGTACATAAATGCATATACTATAAACTCGTAAAAGTATTTAATATGTAAAAAATTAATATGAAATTGCGTATTTTTCACAATCGCAATAAAAACATACAAACGAACATACATATTTATATAAATGCATTGGGTTCCAACAACGTACACAAACAATTTTCCAAGTATATACATAGTATGTACATATACATATATATAATATATATGTAGTATATATAACGGTAGTTGTACGAACAATTACTTACTGTTCTGTAAGAATCTACAAGCATAAAAACATACAAACCAACAACCATACATACATACATACATAGAAATGAGTACTACCCTTTCAAGAAATAAAAAAATGCGATTTTTATTTAAAAAATATATATAAAGTAAACATTTTTTTATTCAGTATGAGTGATGGTTATAAATAATTTAATCGATTAGCTCGGGAAGATCCGCATGTTCGTTGCTATAAATATTTTTTATATCCACAGACCCCTTTAATTCCATTTTGCTGCGAAAGAAAGAAGGCGAAATTAATCTAAAGTTTAATTGCATTTAAATGGTAAACTGAGTTTCAGAAATCGGTAGTATTGGTCGAACATATACTAACTAAAGGCTTGCAGCTGGAGATCTTGACGAAATCTAAAACCAACCGAAACAGTTTGTTGGATCCGCCCTGAGACCAACCACATCAATCGGGTTTGCGTAACCGATACGACCCGAAGTACTCAAATTTATTTGTGTCGCCATACAATAGTTTCACATCATCAATTGCCCGCACTTACGAACGTTCTAGCGAACGGCTACCCTTTCAATCTGACAACCAAAACTCTACAGACTCCTACAAAAGTTATCAGTTAAGTTGGACCAGCTCGATAGGCGATGAAAATATTCAGGTATTCGTGAGATAACTACATATGTAGCTACAACAACAAAAAGTGGCAAGACCGAAAAACGCTATATTCTTTGAGTTTCCGTTCTCACCAAATTTGGTAGAGGCGACCTAAGTCATCTCACAGAGCACTTTCCTCGCCACGATATAAAAAGTGTTGGTGGAAATTGACCCAGTACAACGACGTTTCAACTAGATATTGGGGCATGAGATATCTAACTTCAATCTCATAGGACCCGTGGAGTATGAGATTTTATCATAAAAATATTAGGTTTACATCCAAATATTTACTAAGTTGTAGGACCTCTCAGATTCTGCTGCCAAAAAACTAATGGAGATATTTGTTTTATTTGGTGCTTTTAGGTGACCAAATCTGCACAGAAAACATTATTGAAAATTAAAAAAAATGTATTAGTAAACTGAAGGCACACAGACCACATTTTTTAGAAAAGCTGGACCGATATCATTTTCAAATAAAAGTTAAATAATTAAATATGATATTATAATTACCCATTATTTTCTTGAGGCTTATCATTCATGTCCGCATTATCTGTAAATAAAAAATTATGATTAAAAAATTATTTTTCAAAAACGGTTTCGACAAAATTTCGAGAGTAAAAAATTGTACCTTACAGATAAGCTTAGAAAAATATGAATACTTAGAGATCGATTTAATATCACTTCGAAAAATATTGCTTTAATCAAAAATTCTCGAGACTTCTTTACTGCTTAACTCTGACTGGGAACCATTACTATATAGATCTAAAAAATTTTACCTGATTTTTTCGATCGCAATGTGAGCATCTCTTTGACGTGTAACTTTGGCATAGTTACAAGTAAATAACCCGTTATCTGCGAACGCTTGACTTTTGCCTCGGTTATGTTGATCTCTTCCGAAAAAGCCATTTGAAAAATTTTCCCTTTCACTGAGACGCGCACATAATTTGACTCGACATCCACCTGTATCTGTGATGTATCCAAGTATCTGCGGAAGAAATTAGTTAATAGGAAATATTATAAAACAGAAAAAGTGAAAACAGACACTAACTTATAAACCCCGAGCTCCAGTATATACTCATTGTATTCGTCCTTCAAATTGAATGCCAATTTCGGTTGATTAAGATTGTAGGGCCGACCGCAGGGTGCAAAGAGTGTTAATGTTCGACGAACTGGCTTTTCTTGCTCCGCTGCGTTTTTCTTCTCACGCCCCAATTTATGATATTTGGCAATATCCATGCGTGTTTCGGGGCAATGCTCGCTTTTGGTGTCCCAAAACTTTTTCAAACGACTGTCTTCATCGTCGATTTGCGCCATTTCGCTTTCCAATTGCGCCTTCTTCTCGGCCACACGCAATTTTTGCTCATCCCGTTCCATGCAGTAATTGGCTTGTTTTTGTACAATAACAGCGCGATAGGTGGAGAGGAACTTTTGTGCCTGCAACTTTTCTGAGATTTTGATCTCTTCACAATCCAACCGATTCAGTTGCGGCAACGTGGCCATCACGTAATCTTGATAATGTGGGTAGTCACAGCACGGATTGCCAGTGAGTATGAGCTCGCGTAGATTATAGTTGCCCTTCAGGCACTCAATCGATGTGAGTTCGCCAATGAAATTCAAAGTTAAGTCTAATTTGTTGAGCGCCTCGAGTGCCTCGAGATTTTCGACACGTTCTATATTATTTATGGCCAAGTTTAAGTATTCTAGGTTCTTCAATTTGTACAGATTCTCTATTTTGGCAATCAGATTCGATTGCAGCAGCAAAATCTTCAGATCGCGACACCAATTCTGCAAGTGCTCAATGCGCTCAATGTCTTCTTGGTGCAGCGAGAGCTCTTCCAGTGTGCTGATGAGGCATTCATTATGTTCGGATTTCTTGCGCACCAATTCTTCTGTGACTGCAGTATTATGTTTAGCATTTTTAGTACCGTTATTTTAACAAATTTGCTTTTTGAACTTACTCTTTACCATTGTTTCGAAAACTTAATGACTTTACACAGGTTTTGATAAAATGATTGTTGCATAAACAAGTTTTAGTTTCAAATAAATCAATACGAGTGAGTTCACGTTTCCTTGACAACAAATAATAATATTTTTTAACCTTTACATAACCTTACAATAATGTTTAGTACTGTGGCTTCTTGTGTCTATGGAGCACTCAGGCTCAATTTTTCAGCAAATCAAATAGCTTTTGACAAAGGGGAGGTTAGGCACTCAGGTCTTTTAAACATATTTGGTCGGTTGAGTGGATGAGCGAAGTATCTGACAATTTGTTTGAAGAACGTCATATAATCTATGTAGTGAGAACTTTTTTGAACCAGTACTCAGACGGAGCGTTCTTGAAATAAATTTTGAAATTGCACGTTTTAAAAACTGTAACCTAATACTGTGATCTTGCCTAAGGATAGTTAGGATAGCTATAAATTTGTCTGAATGATTATTTTAATAAAGAATACTGTATATATATCAGAAGATGATTAAGGTGGCAAGTTCTACGTATTTCTTCAAAAATATTACTAAGTCCATGATTGTTAGAAGAAGAAAGCTACAGAATGATAAAATTCATAGTTTTAACAAAAGAATAAACTGAAAACCGGAATACATGGACCATGGCCATGACCTAGTATTCCTCTATCGGCAGATATCAGCTGAAGATTCTTCTGGACTGAAGAACTCTCGTAGTTCGCATCCAAATGTCAAATCTTTTGCTTTACCTATCACATCGCGAATGCCGATTATTGCTTGTTGAGGGAGCTCATATATTCACTACACTCGATACCGAACAGAGTACAAAACATCAAAGCCTCTAATAAACAGCACTTGTGGACAGACAAATATATGTTAGTAAGAAGTGAATAATGTTTTGGGAAGCAAAGCAGACGAACCGATCGTGTGCTTTTGCTACAACGAAACACAATTTCGTAGAGTTATGGATTTCGCAGATTAACTTCCTACTCTAAACTTGATACCTCGACATACTCAATATATTAGAGGCACATCGCAGTTTTTCAGACATGTGATAGAAGACAGAAGTTACACCATAGAATATTGAAAGGAAGGTTGTTGTTGTAGCGACAGGTGTTATTTTTCAAACAATTTTGAGGAATGCTGCCGAGTTATCAATACTTGGACGGATAAAAGTCGAGTTCCATTCCGGTTACGTAGAACCGACTATCGTAGAAAAGGATTGGTTTAAGGATTACATAGGTTTCGTCGAGTAAAAAATGCCCTATTTTCAATAATTTTTTGTTTCATATAAAAAATGAAATATCTTATTCAAACTTTTTATTATTCCCAAGATACATATTTGATAAAGATTTTGTGAAATTTTCAAAGGAAAATATTCACAATTCGGTCATTACGCCGTCATTTACGGCAGTCCCTCAGAAAAAAGATGCTTTCGCGTTGACAGCAGAATTTCTGACAGGATCATCAAAAGCAAAAAGAAAAAAACACGTGTTTGAACTAAGACCATTACATAGGTATTGGACCGAAAAAAAACAAATAAAGTGAAAATAGTATTTTTGGCAGACGTTTTTATAAAACCATGCATACTTTGGTGAAAATTTCTCTACAGTTTTTGTTTTTATATAGTTGTAATTGAAGAAAACAAAATCCACCACGGCAAGACCTTGTAAATTATATCTCAAAGACATGTGTGAAATTTCATTAAGATCGATTGAGTAGTTCGTGAGAAATCTTGACAACCGACTTTGAAAATGCAGTTTCGAGAAAAACGCGTTTAAAGTTTTATGCAATTATATAGCTGACCTCGAGTGCGCAACTCAAAGCTGTACTCCAAAACTATTACTGGGTTTAACTTGAGAATTTAGGACAATATTCTAGAGATGTTATGAATTAAATAAGACAATACATTTTTTTTTAAGCCGTGAAACCATGTAAGCCCTTAAGTGTGTGGGCTATATGCCGTATAAGTACAGTCGACTTCAAGTAATTCTTATCTGATTTTAATTAAGCTGTCAAGTGGATGTGATTTACAAATTGACATACATGTTTACATTAAACTTATAAGCCCGCGCTTATACAATTAGAAACAAATATTATACTCGTATTTACATATGTATGTACACGAACACATATTTGTCTCAATATATTCGTAGGTACTTACATACATACATATGTTGTTGTTGTTTTTGAATGTTTTGTTTTGTATTCATTTAACTCGGTGTCGGAGTTTATTGAAGTTCAACGAACGCGGAAGTTCAGACATTTGCGTTTTTTTAAATTTGTTTATTTGGCAAAACAACAACAAACAAAACAATGCGTATCTGTGGTTTGGCAACTCTATTCTAAATTAATTCGTAATCAATTGCTAGTAAGTAGCCTATCAATATCAAGATGAAAACTAATAAAGATATTAGCGCAATTGAGCAAATCACTACGTTCTATTACCAGCATGGACAGCCACAGCGATATTTTACGTCCACTTTCCGAGGACGAATTTCAAGAATTACTACAATTATATCGTGAAAAATATGGCGAGCAAAATACTCATTACCTGTTGATGTACAATCAAAATAAATGGAATCAGCAGCTAAAAAATTTGAATTGTAAGGTGAAAACTAGCGAGGCAGACGAATGGCTGTCATTCCGGAAATACTTTTACACCTATCGAGATGGTGATTTTAGGAAATATGGCACCTATGTGAGTCTGCATTATGATATTGTAAGTATGGATATGTGTATTCAAATGTTTTTTTGTTAATTTAAAGCAAATAAGCAACTTTTTCGCAGATGCAAAGTGTCTTATTTCATTCGTGGGAGCCAAGTCAGACGGAAATATTGAAATGCTTGCGTGAAACAAAATTGATCAAGTGGCGTGAGGGGCCATTACTAACAAATGTTGACCTTGAATTCTGTGACGTGGTTAAAAATATTGCTTTAGCTAACGGAGCAAGTGTGCAACGCGCGCGTTTATGCCTATATTTAATATTGGAGCATGAAAAGGCCGCTGCCTATGCTTTGGAGAGGTGGGGAAAAATCGTTTTATATGAAATATTTAAATTTTCGTAAAATTTTCTGTCTCTCATAAGCTTAAAAGATGGTTACACTGTTAAAAATCTGAACGTTAATAATGCGTCGCTCGTGCATGAGGTGTGGCCCAATAAGAAGGAAGGCTCGTTGGCGTATGTAAGTGGTCTGATTGCATTAAATCAGACAGCGGGCATTTATAGAGATACTGACGGTGAATTGGTGGCATGGGCTTTTCAAAATGATTTTTCTGGTCTAGGGTGAGCTCGCCTTCGTATTTTAATGTATTTATTAATAATTCTATTTTTTTTTATTCAGCATACTACAAGTTCTGCCAACGGAACAAAGGAAGGGTTTTGGTGCCTTCTTAGCAGCATATTTATGCAAACAAGTGGCAACTGTGGAGAAAGTGGTTTTATCTGCTTGGATTGTTAGTGAAAATTTCAAATCTAAAGCACTGTTGGAAAAGCTCGGCTTTCAGGTAGTGGCCAAGGCCGAGTGGATACAATTAAACAAAGCTTAGATAATCAAAAATGTGAACAACGATATAAAGTAAAAGTATATACAGTATAGTACGAAACATTTGGAAATTTTTGGCAAACAACTATTATTGACATACAAATTTTTTACAACAACGAAGCTTTTTTTTTTAACCTCAATGTTAAATGTTACATTTAAAAGTTGTAACACAAATAAAAAATATTGTAATTTAATATTATGTTAGGCATTTTTCATAGTTATGTTTAGTTTAACATATTCTGAACTTTACATTTTACGAAAACTTCCTATATGTAAGGTTAAATTTTTAGAAACAGCACTTTTGCAGTTCGTTGTTGAATTATTCAATCATTACAGAATTTTTAAAATTTTGCAAGAAGCATAGCATATTAAGAAAGTATTATTATAATTCAAAATTCACACCAAAGAAATGAAGAAATATTATACATTTTCACCTAGAGTATTTGAAAAAATTACAATAAATCTAGTATGATATAAATAAATTAAAAAATTCTAATTATGTAAACAGCAGTTGTTTGTTTGCTTTATAATTGCATCACCTTTTTTTATTGCTTCATTTTGTTTTCACATACAATTTGCTAACGAAAAGTAATGTTAGTATAAATTCATACAAATTAGCCCTGTTTTACAGACATTTAATTTATTTACATGCTACAAATCTCGCTGGGAATATTTATTATTTATATACATAAAAATAGTTATTTTTGCATTGCATACGCATACTATGTTTTTACCTCTGTGTCGAGACTTTATTTTCCTGAAGTTAGTTGTAAAAAATACTATATTTACACAGCTGAACAATTTGGTTTGTATCCGTATCTTTTGTAATATGCGCCAACAAAAAATATTATCTATCTAGCTACACTTTGCCTATCGGTATTATCACTTACATCTACTAAACAAATATATATAAATTCATAAATTAAACAAAAAGTAAACGCGTCGCCGTACTACCATTTGGAAATATATTCCCATTTGTTAGTAAACTATTTGTTGGTATTGTATTAGTATTTGTGAATGGTTTTTCACCACGTTTGTTAGCGAAACCATTTAGGTTACTTGTCGTTGCACCCTGATAATAAGAGTCAAAATTTCCATTGAGTGGTTCGTATTTAATACGATGATTCTGGGTTAGAGGTAATACCGTCTCAGCCTTCCGTGTAATTTGTTTGGCCTGTAAATAAAATTGTATGTGAAAAAGTGTGCAAAAATACAAATAAACATGTGAATAAAGCAATTACCCGATTATAACACAATACGCCGCATATTGCCAAAGTCATACCCACGCAGTTTAACCACGTCACGGGATTCCCTAAAATGAAGAGTGACACGGCTATCACAAAAATGCGCTTAGACGCGCTCGCAACGGCATAAGTCAGTGGCGAAACTAGTGAAAGCACATTAAAAGCTATAACATTTTGTAACCAGTTCAAAACGCCATCAGTAAATAGCAAAGCAATCACGCGATAATCGAAGCTGGTCTAAAGTTGTAAAGTTACATATTTTTTGTAAATTTTTGTTAAAATAATTATAATAAAAAATTTCTCACTATAGCAGGATGTTGTATGACTTTAAAGCTGTCCACAAATATCCAAATTGGCAAGAACATGATTAACGCTAATTTGCCTAATAACTGTAGAAGACGCAGATGATGCATTCCGGTATCCTTAAGCACCTGTAAGATGTGTGAGTATATATTAAACTTTAAATATAATTTTTTAAATAAATACCTTTTTAGAGAAGATGTTCTGCAATGAAAAGCCCATCGTCGATATGAGCGCACTTATCAAACCAACCATGTCGAATGAAATCTCAGTTAAGGTAGCTATTGCAACACCTGTTATAATTGGCACCAAGCTGAGGTACACGAGAGTAGGTTGCTTTTCACGAAACAACAAACGTGTCAAGATTACAGTAAACATCGGCATTGTCGCTTTGACTGCAAAATATATATTTGTACATACAATATGTGGCGTTTATAAAAAAATTTAATACTATATGTAATTCCTTCTGTTTCGATATATATGAATTCGGGACAACTTTACCATAAACTTCTGGCATTTTAGAAGTAAACAGTTTTTGGAAAGAAATTATTAAAATATTTTTTTTTTCGAATTCACAGAATAATCAGGCGCCAAATTTGAGTTTTAGCATAAAAAAAAATTTGCTAGACACATTTCCACACTGAAACTTTATTTTGGTAGGTACTTCACATTTAAACTTTATCAATTAAAATCACTTAACATACGAACTACATATATTTGTAATAAACAACAAGATAAAAAATCACAACTTATAGTTTTTTTGTCCACGCTTACCACGTCAAAGATAATAGGTAAACGTGTCAAGAAATGATGATTTTAACTAATTTTCAATGCTTAAGATGCTGCAAGTAATATTACCACTTATTTACTTACCCGTGTGAGCATAGGAAACAGGCACTTTCCATAGAGAAATGTGTGAAGTGACAGATGCAAGAAACTTGCCCAATGCTAGTGGAATAATCAATCGCCAATAGTATCCTCTAGAAATGTTTTGATACTTTCGTATACGCCAGAGATTAAAGAATGGTCCACTATACAAGGCTATACTACACAGTTGCACCATTGTCACCGTCATAGGAAATGGGAACTCGTTTAATACCATTTTTCCGATGACATTGTTGCTCGAAGAGATCACATACCACAGTACGCATAACGTTACAACAGCCAGGACATGTCTGGTTGATTCAGTTTGTAATCGGTTCCGCATTTTTGTCCACTAGACTACGTAATCATTCACACTTCGATTCAAGTGCAGCCTTCTACAGCTGTTTATTTTAATAAAATAAAATTTCTACACTTTTTACCACATCCCTTTAAGTTAAGGGAAAATACGTAAGGGAACTACAACAAACCGAGTTTTTGGCAGATTGTTTTAATTATTACGTTGGCAAAAGGAGAAGAGAGATATTGCAAAATATCTGACATAGGGTTACCAGGCCTTGTTATTGGTGTTATTTCCGTGAATAAAATAAAATAGCGGCACATGTTATATTTTAACATAAACTGTTGCATATCCTCTCATTTTAAGTTGCTTCCGGAAGCCTTTGGTGTTACATGTAAAATGCAAAATGGTATATTTTATAGAACTTCTTCTCATTTCACTGAAATTTTCGGAAGGAAGAAATATAGGCCTTTCTACAAGAAATTATTAACTTTTGAGAATTGAAATTCCTCAATTATTAAATTGGTATTCAATTGAAACTTAATCTGGCAATTTTTGCAGAATATTTGTCACATTGATTTGTTAATTACACAATTTGTTAATTACACGCTGATTTTCATATAGTTTCCAAATTTTTACGGATTGACATCAACTTATAAAATTTAAAAAATTGTCACAAACTTCGTGAAATATATATTAAATTTAGAACATTGAAAATTAAAAATTGAACGTATTGCAAAACTACAGCTGACAGGAGCAGTGTTGATGTAAACAAACAAGACTAGGGTGAATGAGAAGAAGAAGCAGTATTAAAACGTGTGTCCATTTTTGTTGTCTGTGTGTCGGAATTTTTGTGATTAGGCGCGTTACTCTAAAGAAACTAAAGAAAAACATTTCGCATACATTTAATTAAGGAAAATTCGATAGTGCATGTAAAATATTGGTTTATTTGAAATAATAAGAAGCTTCGCATTACTGCTACTTTATACTTGACGCGTTCGTTGCATGGAACTATAATTGTATTTAATCTTATAAATACAGGAGGATAAGAAAGAAATGTATTGTTAGAATTTCTTTACATATTGTCCAACATACGTTTTGTATACTCCAAAAGCCAATAGATTTGATGTCGATATAACAACAGCGACAAAAGAATCAAAATATTTGTTATTATTTTATTAAAAGGAAATGGTAAGTATACCATAAAATATAAAAGCCTTTCATTTTACCTTTGTCAAATTTTAGGGTCTAAAGATACCTACCTAAAAATAATTTAGCCCTAAATACAATTGGCTGACATAACGTAGAAATACCATAAATGGTTATAAATTTGGGTAATAATAAAAATAGCAGCTCCTTTGGCATATCTTTTCGAAAGCTCCTTTTCTTCTCTTGCCGGTAAAAAAATATTGCTGGAACTGGATTCATAGATGACTGCCATAATTTGCTAGTGCATTGAACCACTGTGCGTGTTTTTATTCTTTATTAAGAACCGGTTTCCTTACCTTTAGCAATTGTATTAGATGGTCATAAACTGTAACAATGACTATATATTTGTACGCAAATCAGAAGAAAAATCATTGTTGCATATCAAAGTTGTTACATACCCTTCTTAGGATATACATATAAAAAATTTTTTTATAAACAGAGCTGCTCGAAGTACCTAGTTTAAAAACATCGTGGAATATATGTTTATTGAATAATTGCGAAATTCTCGTAACCATTGTTCCTGATTATCAGATGTTCAAACTCCTGTTTTCATGAAAATATGCTAAACATACTAATAAGTATGAAAACTTTTGGTAGAAGGTTTCAGCACCTCAAAGATTTGTGATTCACGAATATAATATAAGTTGAATTATTTATATCATATTAGCTATTGATTATTTCACATTAATAACATTTTCATTCTCATCACAAAGTATAAAATTTTAATTGTTTTGACTTCAACAGCTGCCACTAATTAGAAATGACTATTGGGTATAAAAGCATGTCAATACAAACATACATACAGATTTGGTATCAATATTGTTGACACCCACATCATCAACACTTGCACTTATTTGGCGTATTTAAGAAACCGGAAATCAATTTCATTAATATTGCATTGATTTTTGGTTGCAGGGCACAGTCTGTTAGATCACCGCATCAAGACCACACGCATTTTTTTAAAGATTCTATAAATTTAGCAAAATTCGAATTTATCAATTGTGGCCTAATTATCTGATAACAGTGCTAATTTATATATTTTATAAAAAACATGAACATACATACATATTAGTTATACTAATTAGCGAGCTTTTTTACGCTTTACTCATCTCTCTTATACTGATACATACAACCAACTGTAGAGCTCTCCAATTGTTACACGTCGTGGTGCGCAAAAAGCTAAAATACAAACTCGCGCAATGGTCAAGTCTGCAGTCGCAGCTAGCAAGCCGAGCGCAGCGCTACTAGAAGCTAAACGCAAAGCGAAATTACTCAAAATGCAGGAACAAAACCAACAAGATCAAGTTGTAAAGGATATTTTCCAAAATGTAAGCTTCTATATGCTTTAATAGTATTATACAATAACTGACATTTCAAGGTTTATGGAAATGTATTTTTGTTTTTGTTTTAAGGCGGTTAACGCAAAAACAATAATACAAAAGCCTACTGGTATTGTTTATGATGAATCGATGGCGCAGCATCGTTGCCTCTGGGACGAAAATCATCCAGAGCGACCGGAACGCTTTACTCGTGTGCTGGAGAGGTGAGTACTTTTGAAAAAGCTCATATATAATATTATATTGTTAACTTGCACTTTCAATTAATATAAAGATAATGGAAATTTATTGAGAGCATTTGTACCTATAACGGCGTATTATATGCATTTAGTATGCATAAAGGCGTTTGTAATCACACGTTAAATCTTATCACTTTTATATTGGTATATAAATGCAATTGCACTTAATGCCACACCTATATTTATATTTCGATTTCAAAGCAACTTAGATAATATAGACAGATAGATAGAAAACAAAGTTAGCAACACACTTATTTCAGCAACAACAATGTATTCCAACAATTAACATAACGTAATTATGACCTATTGTATAAAGTATATATGTATGTATATATAAAATCAGAATAACTGGCTGAGTCGATGTAGCCATGCCCCGTTCCCACGACATTGGGGTCTACGTAACCGGAACGGACCCGGATTTTTATCCGGCCAAGGACTGTCAACTCGGCAGAAGTCTGCCGCTACAACAACAGCAACAACATGTAGTCATGTCCGTCCGTCTGTCTAGCTATACACAAACTAGTCCCTCAGTTTTTGAGATATCGATCTGAAATTTTCACACGTCCTTTTCTCACCAAGATGCTGCTCATTTGTCGGAACCGCCAGTAGCGGGCCACTATACCATATAGCTGTCATACAAACTGAGCGAAAGTGTTTGTATGGAAAACATCATTTTACAAGATATCACCCTACAAAACAAATTGTTCAGATCGAACCACTATAGCATATAGCTGTCATACAAACTGACCAATAAAAACCAAGTTTTTTTAAGAGAAAACTTTTTTATTTGTGAAGGGTATTGGGTGCAACCGAAGTTTTCTCTTGTTCTATTGATCATATGATCTGTTACAATAAATATTGTATGTATATCTTAAATAATTTAAAAAGTTATTAACATAATAAATATTCATTAATTCAATTAAATCAGGTTTTTTGCATAATTACTAATAAAAAACTTATGTATATTTCTTTTTGTGCTCTAAAATCCAGATGTAAAGAGCTGCAACTCATTGAACAATGCCAGAGAATTCCATCACGCCGTGCGACAAAGGATGAAGTGCTCTTGCTGCACAGCGGGGAGCATTATGACCTACTGCAACAAACATCTGGTGTGCAAGATGAAGCGGGAATGGAAGATCTAAGCTCAAAATTCAATGCAATTTATCTACATCCGGTTGGTATTATTATAAGCTGATTGTTTTTCTGATTTGCATATATATTTTGCCTCCCACTTGCTGCAGTCCACATTTGAATTGTCGCTACTGGCTACCGGTTCGACCATTGACTTAATTGAGAACATAATTACCGGCAATGTACAGAATGGCATGGCGATCATACGGCCACCAGGTCATCATGCGATGAAGGCAGAATTCAATGGGTACTTTACAATTGTCTTACACTAGTCTCTGTAGTTTCGATAGTATGCAACGCTTGTGAATGTATGTGTATATGTATATTCCTCAGTTACTGTTTCTTCAACAATGTGGCCATTGCAGCACAATACGCTTTGGACATTTTGAAGTTAAGCAAAATAATGATCGTCGATTGGGACATACATCATGGGCAAGGCACACAGCGTTTCTTCTACAATGATCCAAGGTGGGTGGCTAAAATTTGCCATATTTAAAATTGAGCGTATAATATCTCATTTACTCATATATATAGGGTGCTCTACTTCTCCATACACCGTTATGAGCATGGCACATTTTGGCCAAATCTACAGGAATCCGATTTTGATGCTATCGGTTATGGCAATGGTTTGGGTTATAATTTCAATGTACCGTTAAATAAAACCAAAATGGGTAATGGCGATTATCTGGCCATATTCCAACAGTTGGTTATACCCGTAGCTGTTGAGTATCAACCCGAATTGATAATCATATCGGCCGGTTATGATGCAGCTTTAGGTTGTCCAGAGGGTGAAATGGAGGTCACACCCGCTTTCTATCCACATTTACTAAGTTCACTCATGAAATTGGCACAATCACGCATTGCCGTGGTTCTAGAAGGTGGCTACTGCCTTGACTCCCTCTCTGAGGGTGCAGCACTCACCTTACGCACCCTGTTGGGCGGCACATGCCCCACGTTGGTGGAGAAAATCGAGCCACCTAGTGATATACTACAAGATACAATACTCAATTGCATTTATGCACATCGTCAATACTGGCGCTGCCTACAAATCCAGCCGATGTATACTATGGAGGAGCTGAATAATGTAAATCCACAACCGAAATTGCATAAAGTCAGTCGCCTGTTCATTGGCGGCCAACCACTGCCCGAACGTTTCCCCACTAGAGACACGGCACCGGTCACGATACCCGAAGTGGTGGCGCAGAACACGAAGCGCTTGCAATTTCTTAAAAAAGGTAATTAAGTTTTTTTTTAAATTAGTGCGAAATATATATGTTTTAATGAAATCTCAAATTATTTAGAAACCAAATTGTTGGCACCAAAAGTACGTGTGTGCTATGTTTACGATGAACTTATGTTGCAGCACAGCAATACCTTTGAAGAAGGCCATCCGGAGCAGCCAGAGCGCATAAGACGTATCTACGAAATGCACGTCGATTACAGGCTCACCGAACGCATGAAGCAATTGCCGATACGCATCGCCACCACAGATGAGATTTGTTTGGCGCACACACGCGCGCACGTCAACTTCATACGACGCATTAGCGATAAGGATGAGCTGCAGGGTATGGGCGAGAAATATAATTCGGTCTATTTTCATCCGAAGACGTTCGATTGCGCCACGCTGGCCGCCGGTTCGGTGCTGCAAGTGGTTGACAAAGTGCTGACAGGCGAAGCGCGCAGCGGTGTGTGCATTGTGCGGCCGCCCGGTCATCATGCAGAGCCTGATATACCACATGGCTTTTGTATATTTAATAATGTTGCAATCGCGGCGCAGTATGCCATACGCGATCATGGACTAAAACGGTAAATTTTGTCATATGGTTATATGGCAACTTTTTATGCCTCGAACATAGTATAATAAGTTTGCCACGAAGTTTGTAATACCCAGTCGATTCAGACATGACCGTCTGTCTGTCTGTCCGTCCGAAAGTCCTTCTGTTTGTATATACGCGTACTAGTCCCTTTGTTTTTGAGATATCGATCTGAAATTTTGCACACGTTCTTTTCTCTCCAAGAAGTTGCTCATTTGTCGGAACCGCCGATATCGGGTCACTATAGCATATAGCTGCCATACAAATTGAACGATCAAAATCATGTCCTAGTATGGAAAACTGTTTTTACAAGATATTTTCGCAAAATTTGGGATGAATTATTGTCTAAAGCAACGGTACCGAAGAAATTGTTCAGATCGGACCACTATAGCATATAGTTCCCATACAAACTAATCGATCAAAATCAAGTTCTTGTATGGAATCTTTTGTATCTACGAAGGGTATTATAACTTTGGTGCAAACGAAATTAACATTTTTTTTTTTTTGAAATCCTAATTTTAGCGTTTTAATTATTGACTGGGACGTGCATCATGGCAACGGCACACAACATATCTTCGAATCGAACCCGAATGTGCTTTATATAAGCATACATCGCTATGATAACGGCACTTTCTTCCCCAAGAGTAAAGATGCCGATCACGATGTGGTTGGTAAAGGTGCCGGTGTCGGCTTTAATGTGAATATACCCTGGAATAAGGTTAGCAGGCATTGTTGTAAACTAACAGACAAATAATAATATGTTCTTTTCCTACAAAATTAACTCTACAGAAAGGCATGGGCGATATGGAATATGTAATGGCCTTCCAACAGCTCGTTATGCCAATTGCTTATGAATTCGATCCGGAATTAGTGCTCGTCTCAGCCGGCTTTGATGCCGCCATCGGCGATCCACTTGGCGGCTGTAAAGTAACACCCGAAGCTTATGGTCTGTTCACACATTGGCTCTCCGCACTGGCCGGTGGACGCCTGATTTTGTGTTTGGAAGGTGGCTACAATGTCCACTCCATTTCCTATGCGATGACCATGTGCACGAAATCACTGCTGGGTGATCCAATACCAGCTATACAAGTTAACGGCAATGCGACACGTGGGCTGAGCGCTGCATATACAAGTTGCATTGAGACTATACAGAATTGTTTGAATGTGCAACAACGCTATTGGAAGAGTTTGGTCTTCAACAAGCGGCTGCCACAGTTCGCTGGCGAAAATAACAATGAGGATTTTCTTTCTGCTACTTTGAGAAATTTAGATATCACAACGGATGAGGCAAAAGGCGCCGTTGGCTGTGAAAATGTTGCTGACACAGAGGTGGCGTTGGAACCGAGCGGCAGTAAGCCGAAGGTAAAAGTTAAAACCCTAACCGAATTTCTCACCGAAAACTTAGAGGTAATTTATCATTTACCGAATTATGTGTGCGAGATCACTAGCTAACCTTTACGTTTTTGTTCTTACTTTTCATGACTGCACATAAACAAAAACAAACATTAACTATATGAAAAATAAAAAAAATTGCGAAATTCAAAAAAAAAAAACTCCAAATCAAATCATCATCAGGCTTTGCAAAATAACGAAATGTTCGCCGTTGTTCCATTAAAGACATGTCCTCATTTAAAACAGTTGCGTCCTGAGGAGGCGCCGAAAAGTAAGCAGCGTGTCTTTTGTTTTGTTTGAAAACACATTAATTCAATGTCGTGTTTTAGACTTTGTAGGTTTGTTTCAAATTGTTACACTTTTAATTGTTTATTGTTGTTATTGTGGCTTTCTTTTATTTTCTGATGTTTATACATGATTCAATTTGTCGCTTCTTCTCCTTTCGCTTTTCGTTTGTGCGTGTCTGTGTGTGATTGCGGCTGTCTCAATACATTGTACATACATACATACATATGTATCACATACATCTCTGTCGCCTATGCATGTTGCAAATTGCTTTATATCTTTTAAATTATAATTTGCATGTTTCAAAAAATAACTGTTTCTACATAGATACCGCAATGTGATTGGATGATATAGCCGTCTGTTAGAGAGAGAGAGAGTGGAGGTATTCGTTATCATTTTTTTTAATCTATAATTTCTTAGGTTTGCCAAAAACAACTTTATTTTTCAAATAAATATTTATTATATTGTGTTCATATTTCATCGCTCTTTCAGTATTATAATATGTTTATATGTATTTGTGCTTCTTATTGCTCTAAGTTAGTTATTGCTAATTAAATCGAGAGTACTTTTAAAATTATTACTTTTCGAAAAAAGAAAATCGAAGTTCGTACTTTATTTTTTGAAAAAAGTTTTCTTACAATAATTCTAATAGAATAATTTGCCTCTGTCAGCCTTTTTAAAATCTTATTATCGAAAATAACGATTTTCTTAATACAAATTTAAACTTATTATATTTCCAAAATTTATTAAAACTCAAAAAAGTCATATTATAATCGTTAAAATCTTTATTTTCGAAAAAAATCTAAATTCGTATTAAATTTTTTTTGAATAGGTTTCAAACAAATATGATACGATAATTTAAAATATTTCTAATATAATAATAACTTTCCAATTTTATTAAATTACAGAATTAATTTTATTTGCAAATCAAAACCAGTTTTCTAAATACAAATTTTAAGTTATTATTTTCATGAAATTCATTGAAATCTAAAAAATCAGGTTATTTTCGAAAAGTAAATCGAAATTCGAACTTAATATTCTACCTAGAAAAAGTTTTAATATACAAATATGATATGATATTTACAATATCTTCTAATATGATAATCATTCTCTAATTTTTTAATACTATTACTGAACTTATTTAATTTTTAATTATTAATTATTTTTTAAATTCTTATCGAGAAACTGGTTTTCCAAATAAAGATTTTAAGTTATTACTTTCATGAAACTTGCGAAGACCTCAAAAAATCATAGCAAGAAATTTCGAAAAAAATAAAAGTTCGAACTTAATTTTTTTGAATAAATTTTTATAAAAATAATATAATTTATTATTGAAATAAATTTTTTTTAAAATAACGGTTTTCCAAAAAAAAAACATTTAAATTATTTTATTGTCATGAAATTCAGTAAAACCTTTGGTTATAATCGGTTAAATCTTTATTTTCGGTAATTAGACGCATTTTCCAAATTTAGTTTTAGGATAATCTCTCTTATAATAAAACATTATCGATATTATGTTCAAATTTGTTAGTTTTCGAAAAAAATTAAATTCAAAACTAAATTTTTGGAATAAGTTTTGATACAAATATGATAATTTAAACATTTTCCAGTATAATGAACATTTTATAATTTTCTTTTATTACTATTACTGAATCTACTTTGCCATTAATTTTAAAATGCTTATTATCGAAGTGGTTTTCAAAATAACAATTTTAATAATTATTTTCATGAAGTTCGTTTAAACCTCAAAAAATCAGATTACAAAAAGTGGAATCTTTATTTTTGAAAAAAAAGACAAGTGAAATTTCGAAAATAATTAGGGGAAATTTTTGTTTTAATGCTAAAATATAAAAGTTATTATTTGACTTTTGGTAGTTTTACCTTGCTTTCTGTAAAGTTTCTTCAATATGTGATAAAATCGTTTTATAGTGAAATATTTTTGTTTTTCACATTCAAAAGCAAAAACTTCGGTATTTAGGTTAATTAATTTTTTTTTTTTAGAAAGGCCACGGCATTTCTGGCATGCACTGTATTTTATGCTTATTAAACTTTATCTTCTTTCATGAGTTTCGTTGTACTTATTTTTCGCTTACAAAATATTAAAAAAAAAAAAATTATAAATATTAATATTTTATTTCATTTATTTTTCTTTCCCATAACACAGCCATAGACAGCAATGCACCTTGCGAGCAGTGCTCATCAACCGCCGAAAACTGGATATGTCTGAGCTGTTATAAAATACTTTGCGGTCGTTACGTCATGGAGCATATGCTCTTCCATAGCATAGAGCAATCGCATCCCCTGGCGCTTAGCTTCAGCGATTTGTCCGTTTGGTGTTATCCTTGTGAGGCGTATATAGATAACAGTAAATTGCATGTATACAAAAATCTACTACATCGTCATAAATTCGGTGAAGACATGGTGTGGCCATACCTGGATGGTAAAAACGCTAACGCCAATGACAGCGATAACGATGACTATGATGCCGATGATGCGCGAGTGTTTAGCATTCAACTTGAACCGAGCAACTGACAATATCTGTTATTACTGCTGACGACAGTACAAAATTATTTGTGTACATCATTTCCACCACTTAGACATGTTTTCCATTTTTTCGCCCAGTACCTTTGGCCGTTGATTTATCGCCTCTATATTAAATTGTTGTATTACTTTATATCGAGTTGATGATTTATATATTAGTACTTTATACTACAATATATACGATACTTACATACTTACATATATGTATGTATGTATATCTAGTTACAATAGTATACTAAATTCACTGACTTGCGACGACGTCTATATATTTTTATTAGAAACACAATATTTTCTCACAACACACACTAACCAAAGACTTGAAAGCAAAAACAAAAAACTAAAACTGTACATTAAATTACTGATACCGTGTGTTTGGTCCACAAAAAATACATATGTCTTGAATGTGTCGTAAAAAGAAATCGGCATGCATTTTTATATTGAAAATCTATTGTTCTACAGCTTGTGGCAAAATACTGAATTTGCTTGCTGGCCGATTTTATTGTTAACCAACGTGAATATATAATATTACTTTTTTTTGGAAGCTATGGCTGCTGTTAAGAGATTGTAAGAAAACTCAATACTATTATATTAAAATATTTAATTTTTATTTTAATAACATAATTATTAATTAATACATTTATACATACAGATTTGTTCGAAGGAAATTACTAAGTTACATACATGTGCAGCTTAACTTTAGAAGCAATTAAAATTATGACTATTTTTACAAAAAGTAAAAAAAGCAATTATTGTAAAAAATTTAACAAAATTAAAACATTTAATAAAATGACAAAGAAAATATGTCTTTAGTTTGATCGAAAGAAAAAACGTCCACTTCATTTGCACCGAAGCTATAAAACCCTTCACAGGTGTATTTCTTATAGCCTAAATGGGTATAAAAAGATTTTGATCGCTCAGTTTGTTATATAAAAAATATCTCCATACAAGAATTTGATTTTAATTGGTCAGTTTGTATGGCAGCTATATGCTATAGTGGTCTGATAACGGCGATTTCGACAAATGAGCAACTTTTTGGGGAGAAATGGACGTGTGCTAAGTTTCAGATCGATATCTCAAACACTGAGAGACTAGTTGCGTATAAACAGACAGAAATGGCTAAATCCACTCAGCTGGTAATACAATCATTTATATAGTACATACTCGAAAATATTATTTCGTTTCTTTTTGGATACTACAATATTTGTGGCAAACTTAATACACCCTGTTAGGAGTATAAAGAAACAACTTGGTAAAGCTACAACATTTAAGAAAAGTTTTAGAATAAATATGGATAATAATGCAAAATATTCGGGCATAACAGTGATTGGTTAAGATCACTGTAATTTACATTCACCAAATACTGAAGAATAATTGAAACATATTTTTGCTATTAAAACAGCGACCAATCTTAACCCAAATAACCGATAACAACCCGCACTGTCTCGTATGAAACCGTTAAATCCACTTTTAAATTGCTTTAAAAGTGATTTCCGTTCAGTTTGACCATGCTACTACCTTTATTTTTACTTTTAAAAAAATTTTAAGTAAAATTGCCTCGTATTAACTCGTATAATCTACACATTTTCTTTCGAAGTGTTATTTTCGTTCAGCTTTACAATAATACTACCGTTATTTTTACCAACAATTTTTTATTTTAAACTATTGTTTATTTTTGTTATTTTTTTGTTTTTTACTCAGTGGTCCTTTTTGTTTCAATTGTTTTTGCTTTGTTGGTGGTTGTGCTTTTTCGGCAACATTTCCCTTCCGTTTCCTTGTTTTTTCTTGCACTTGACTGCTACTCGGCTCAGATGAATCTGTGTCATCGTCACTGCTTTCTTGCTCCGGTACGTCTTGGAGATCTTCCTCATATTCAATCGTAACAACACCACGTTCTGGTGGCTTCACAGCTTTCTTTGGTAAAATATTTACTTGTTTTTTGTCTTCTTTTGAGTCGTTATTTTTTAAAACAAATGCGCCACCGAATTGTGTTAGGTCTAAGATGCTAAGGCAGGTTGGACGACAGCCGATGTTGGTTGTACACAGTAGTTTCAAATTTTTCTTGTTTATATTCACTTGCCAAGCTTTCATCTCGCCGGAGCTGCAAAAAAGAATTGTTAAATAATTTGTTAATTTTACTTAAGTGTTTTTTAATTTATTTTTCTTTACAAACCTTGATATTGTGATTAATGTGTCTTTAAGGAAAGCCATAACTTTAACTCTGGTGCTGTGTGCTTCCGTAAAATGTTCCTATCAAAATAAATTTGACACGTGTAAATATAAAATGACTTCACTTTTTGTTTTATTAACGCATTACCTTTCCTTCGTCTCCTTCTTCTTCTGTCACTTCAAGCCACAATATTTTACCACTTTCCAAGCCAACCAAGCATAACTCATCAGCCACCCAGCAAACACATATTGGCTTTTCTTTTGTCTTTCGACTCAACAATACATCGGCTGATTTGATAGACCAAATCTCTGCGGCACGGAAACCACATAAGGTAAAATAATCGCCAGTTGGCGACCACGTCAGACAATCTGGTTGTGTGCCCAACGTACTGCGACTCTTTAAATTGGTTTTGTACGCTACACGTCCCTTCACCAAATTCCATGTGCATAATACACGATCTGCACCGAGTGACAGTGCTAGCTTGCCACTCGGATGACAACTGATTTGATTGACTGCTGAACCTTTATGCGCCTTCCAATTACCCTCTGTGGCCCAAGTTTTTTGACGTGTCGCAATCATACGTCCATCGTCGCCACCTGACAGCAAATGTGAGCTGTCCGGTGTAAAAGCCAATGCGTTGATGGTACCCTCATGTGACAAAATAATCTGCAAGGCTTAATAAATGTGAGCAATAAATGATTATGCTGGTTAGGCTTAGACTTACATTTGTTTGTTTTCTCGAACGCATATCATATAAGAAGATACGATCATCTGTGGCGCCAGTAGCCACGAAGTGTCCATGCACTGCTACGCATTTAAGTGGACCGGCGTGCGATTTATCCGCAAAGGATTGCACAAAATTTGAACTTTCATTTGTTAAGAGTTTATAACCGAGGAGGAATTCCTCATAAGTTCCGATAATTACTTCCATAGCCCGTAATGTTTATATTTTTATCTACCCCGGTTGACAATAGCTTAGCACGTGGGGAATATAATGAGAAACGAAACATTCTGAAGCGGACACAAGTATTTCGATTTCAAGAAGAAATATCGATTATCGATATATTTCAATAGTAAATTCCTAAATTTGAATGAATTTCTGATATAGAAATTCTTCCAAATAACCAGTTGGATGTTGTTGTTGTTGTTATAGCGGCAGAATTCTGTCGAGTTGACAGTCCTTGGCCGGAATAAAACCGAGTCCGTTCCGGTTACGTAGACCCGTTTATCGTGGGAACGGCTAACCAGTTGGATCTTCAGAAGCGGCTAATAACCTTTAGAATTCTCTATTTCCATCAAATATATCCACGCATGGAACTGTGTAGATTTCAACAGAAATTAGGCTTCCGCCGCTTTTCTGGATCTATATTTGAATTACTGCTGTATACTTTTACATTCTTTTAGAGGATTCAGTTGTTAGATTAATCACCTTATGGTGTCAAATTCTGAAGAAGACAGAATAGAGAACTCAGATTTCACTTTTCTGAGGTATATTTTCTAATGTAAATAATGCAATATTGTTGGTGCAGCTGCTCAAATCCTGTTTAAGAGGATGGTCTTACAAAAAGAAAAACGAAAATTTTGGAAAAATGGCGTTTAATTTTTTAACATTATCTCCTTTTAACGATGCTACAACTTTTTGAACCCGACTAAAACATTCGTTTTCTAGAGGTCTGTAAAGTAGATATTGACAGCCTTGATAATTTTTACATTTTACTCAAATTTCTGCCCAAGAATCTCAGAAAATGGTGCCATCACCTTTGTTTTTTTAATTTTCAAGTGTATTTTAAATAATCTGCAAACGATTATTATAAATGTTGTTAAATTATAATTTTATTCATTGTATCATTATATTTATTTGGATTTATTTTCAACTTCTATGTTTCAATGCTAAGCGCAGTTATCTAACCTACTTAACAGCAGGTGGCAGATAGGTATAGCGGAAATCGGGTACCGCATGTAACTAATGGCCTTTTACAAGCCGATAAGGGCAAGAAATAGCTTTAGTTTTAAATATGTAAAGTATTTAAAAATACAAAAGCTTCGATTACTCAAACTTAATATCTTCAGTTCAATTTGAACTGTCAACGGCTGCATAACGGAAAAAATATGAGACTGCATGTTTTAATAACAATTTTGGGTAAGGAAAGTAATTCTTATTATAGAGTAAATAAAATGAAATAAAATAAATATAAATATAAAATAATTACTTCTAAACAATCTACTTTATTTTACCCCAACAAGTGCTAGGCTTGTGTCACGCCGAAGTTGCTCTCAACGAAGAGGATTATGGCCGTACATGGATGTGGATGCCAGATGGCGATGGCAAAGCACATATTGTCTATTTAACGGAACCACCCGAGGATAGTCAGCAAGACGATGTGCCTGATTTTGTGCATGTGGAGCTTTTTGATAGGTAGTGTTGCTTTACACAATCTTTTTCATTGATATGGAATTAATTACTAATTTTTAGAGCAAATACCGCTAATCCAACAACAATACAAATATCCGTTGCCAATTATACTGCCAGTGAAGGTAGGCATAGTAGACAGAAACGCGATACTTGGGAAGACATGGCCGGTAAATTTAATGCAGATTTGGATACGAAAATTTTGGTACACGGTTGGAAGTCGAGTACGACCAGTGACTCAATACAATCGATACGTGGTGCATACACTATGCGTGGGAATTTGAATATTTTCGGTAAGTTTCCATGTGGGAAGACGAAACAAACGGATTCGAATGGGTTCACATAAATATGGTCATAATAAGTTTTCAGGATTTATGCAACAAAAATTCGTGTATTCTACTTTGAAATGCATTTTGTGTGATTATTCGGGTATGAAGGTCGTGTATCGAACATTCTGAAGAATATTAAACTTATCTGGACTAATATTAAAAAAAAAAAAATTACTTCGTTTCTATGCCTGGTTTATTTATGCTTTCCGGAATGGAAACTATCCGAACTATCTTTTGAAGTCCGAACTATCTTTTGAGGTATTATCTTATTAGTAAAATAATAGATTTTGAGTGAGCAAAACGGGTATAAACTGAAGTTTATTTGATTTGTACAGGGTTTTTTGAAGCAATCTTAAAAAATGGAGTTTTAATCATCTCAATTTTTTTGTTTTTTCCTAGCAATCAATTGGCGCGATCAAGCGGATAATATTTATTATCTGAAACCCGCACGTTACACCGTGCAAGTGGGCCGCGCTGTCGCTAAGCTAATTGATCTGCTCGTTGAGGAAAAGGATGCTGACCCCAAGCGTATACATCTAATAGGTCATAGCTTGGGTGCGCATATAATGGGTTATGCTGGGTCTTATACCAAATATCGCGTTAGCAGAATCACAGGTGAGGCACTGATCCTAGACGATTCTATAACAATACTACACATACCAAATTAAATTATAATGAAAATTCAGGTCTCGATCCTGCCAGACCGGCCTTTGAAAACTGCAGTGGACCGGAACATCATTTAGATCCCTCAGATGCAGATTTTGTTGATGTTATACATAGTTGTGGCGGCGTTTTGGGTTTTCGTGAACCAATCGGCTTTGTAGATTTTTATCCGAATGGCGGCGGCGCGCCGCAACCGGGCTGCACAGCGATTTTACAAATCTTTAGTGAGTATAAATTAGTTTTCTTTATTAAGCTTTATTTTCAAATTTATCTATTTTCTCTTTCGTCCGCTCTCAGCCGGCTGCAGTCACGGTCGTTCCTATGAGTACTTTGCAGAATCCATATATAGTGAAAAGGGTTTCTATGCTGCGCCTTGTTCTTCGTTGAAAGAGTTAGTCGGTCGTAATTGTACGGGAACTAAGATATTAATGGGTGATCCTGTGCCGCTAAGTGCGCGTGGCATATACTATTTGAAGACTGGAAGTAAGCCAGGTTTCGCTTTGGGTTTGGACTAGCGACAATATTTAATTACCTTTTATGAAAACGGTGTTCATGTATGGGGTGGAAATATTTATATCGATATGTTTATAAATATATGCTTAACTATGAGTAAATAAACCAAAAGGAAATGTCAACTACCTTACAAAGAGAGATATTGACATTAAAGATATTGACTATTAATAGAATATTAAACTTCTCTGGACCAAGGTAGCACAAGCATTTGGCATATATTGAAAGTAATAGCTACAGTTCAAGTTCAAGTGACACTGATCTCGAAACATTTATCGATCTGACGAACGAAGTGGGTAAACCTTCCAAGCGTCACCATGGACGTTAGCATCATCATGCAGGATGCAATCGACGTGGACGTGATCGTTCACGCTTACCTTCGGACTCTCGCGGACGATCTCATGGACGCTCTCGTGGGCACTCACGCGATCATTCACGTGAATGTTGTGTCAAGTGTTGCAATTTTTTCGTGAAGCCAGCCTTCAAATAGCTTCCCACTGATCATTACCTGCGGCATCTTCGGCGTTTGCGATCACATATTAGATCAAAAATAGTAAGAATAAGATGTGGTGCACGTAATTAATTAATCTATAATCAAAATTTAGATCTCGGTCCTGCCAAATCGGCTTTTGAAAATTTCGGCAGACCAGCGCATTATTTAGATCCCTTGTATACATATACGGATTTCCTTGATGTCATACAGATTTATAGCGGCATCGTTCGGTTTTGTAATTTTTATACCAATAAACCGGGCTACACAGAGGTTTCCCAAATATTTAGTGAGTACGAAATAGGTTTTACTTCCAACTTACTTTTCTAAAAAAAACATTGTCTTGCTTTAAAACGAAGTAAACTTATCAGTATGGCTGGTGCATACCATATATTCGATATTGAAACTACTAATAAACAATCGATAGATGGAATTATAAAAATTGCTCTATTAAATGTGTATGTTTGATACGTCATGTATTTCAACTTAAGCTACGGATTACAAGTTAATTACAAGTATCTGCCCATCACCGCCAAATATTGTTATTAGCACTGGGGGTACAACAACAACTAGTCGCCAAAGCGCATTATCGCAAACGTTTTCAAACGTTGGCGCATGAGTCACTATGGCGCTCGTTTGGCGCTCACTACTGCTTTCTGCATCGGCAACGTTGAGCAGAATAGCTAAAACGTTTTTCCAACGTTTTGTTTGTGTATAAAAGCGGCCGGCAGCCATGCAATCAGCAGCAGTTGAGCAACGAAGTGCACAACGAAAACAGTCAACAAAGTTAAAGTGAAGTGTGTGCAAAGAAAATACAACAATAAAAAAGGTGAGAAAATATTTAAAAAATAAGTCTCCTATTTTCCAAAAAGTAGAAGCGAAGAGGACATGGAAGCCGTAATGACAGAACCGAAGGCTGGCTGCAGTTACGAACCGGCAACGGCGAAAGCAAAACAAAATGCCAAAGATCAGAAATTATTGCAAAAGGCTGTAAAGAAAGCATACAAAGCACAGAAATTGCTAAACGAAGCTATTAAGCGATTGGAGGCTTCGAGCGAAAAGCAGAAGAAGAGGCACAAGCAGTCGAAACATATTGAAAATAGTAGCTCTAGTTCAAGTTCTGGTACAAGCTCGAGTTCCAGTTCGAGTTCTAGTACGAGCTCAAGTTCTAGTGACACTGATGGCGAAGCATTTATTGATTTAACAAACGAAGTGGGAAAACCTTCAAAGCGTCACCATAGACGTAAACACCATCATGGACGACGTAATCGACATGGACGTGATCGTTCACGCTCACGTTCGCACTCTCGCGGACGTTCTCGTGGACGCTCTCGTGATCACTCACGTGGTCATTCACGTGGACGTTCTCGCGGACACTCACGTGGTCATTCTTTGACACGTGATCAAGAATTGCGTCAATTGTCGCAGTTTTTTCGTGGCGCCAGCCTCCAAACAGCTCCCCCCATTCTACATGGTCATCACCAGCAGCACCACCGACGCATGCGATCACATATTAGACCCGAAATAGTTGATAGCGCAAACAGAGGATCTCGCTCTAATTCACACGAGCGTCACAAAAAAAACGATCATAAGAAAAAGCATAAAAAGCGTCACAGCGCTAAGCATCAGTCAAAACATGATGGTGCTGGAAGTGAAAAGCATGCGTTTACAGGAGAGACATGCTCTAATTATCCATATTATTTATGTTCACATCCGCGAGATCGTTCTTATTTTTCAGGTATACCAGCAATAATGGATCAATGCGGTACGATGATACCAGTTTATTATGACGAAGCGCGCAACTACAGACGGAGAGCACACAGTGAACCTCGACATTAAAGGGAGCAGTGGTGGAGGAGTTGTGTTGTTTCAACGTCTATATTTTATACATTAACATATTATTATTTAACCATATAAAACTTATAAAAAGACTTTAAAAAACGAACAAATAATGCGGAAAAAAAAGAAAAAGTAAATAATATATATTATAAACATAAGTATATGCTATCCAAACATATATAATATACCAAGTATTTAAAGGAAATATATACAAATAAATAATAAAACACAAATTGTTGTTTTATTTAAATAGAAGATAAACTAGCTAATCTAAATTATAGCATCTGATGGAGCTGAACTATTGTAAGTCAGTAAAATGAATCGTGGGTCCTAAAACCCAATGATCGTGTGGACTCACCACTATATGTGCAAAAAGATGTGTATGTGAGTCGAAACTCTTGCTCAGATGATAATAAAAGTATATTAAAATTTCTTTGCGAAATTAGTTGTTTCAAATTTTCGGAAGACAAATACAAACAAGTAAGGAATTTGGGTGTTGGTGGAAATATTAAGCAATTTTAAGAAATTTTTAGACATCAAAAATTGTTTTATGGACGATCTATTAGATCACTTTCACCATATTATTTTACCGTCGAACGCGCGTTCTATAAGAGTTACTATTTTCAGACACGACAATTCGTGTAGCAGAAACACGAAGTTAGTGGAGTAGGAAGCACTGTAAAAAGAAGACATCGATTTTCTGAGACTTAGAGGCAAGCTTTTTTTTTTTGTGTTTTTTTTTTGTTCTCACTGACCTCAGTGATATTCATTTGCGATATTACATATTATCTATTGCCTGCTTTTAGGCTCATTACTTAATTAGTAAATGTAGGCAAATTTGTACAGTATTAAATCTGAAGTAAGCCTAAAACTATATTTTTCTAATTCATTTATTTTATGCTGACCATAACATTACGCCTAAATGTAGGCCAATTTTTTCTATATTATATGGTATATATCGCATCTCCACGTCTACAAAAGTCAATATAGATGCATTGAACATTTCGTGATCGTTTGATATCAATTCGATTATGGTATTATATTTTGGAGAGGTAAAGTCCAATAGGTTTCTAAAGCGATACATTACTCTGTACATTACTGTGTACTTATTGCTCGTTAAACGAGAATTGGTAAAAAGAAGATAATAGTGCCGCAGTATTTGACGATCTGAAGTTTTGCACATGTCCTTTCCTTCTCCAAAAGCTGCTCATTTCTCGGAATCGATTTGCCGATATCGGATCACTACAGCGTACAAGTATAGCTGTCATACACTGAACGATCGAGAAAAATGCTTGTATAAAGTTTTTTTTTAATTTATCAAATTTGGCATAGATTATTGCCTAAGGTAATGCTGCAATCTTCGAAAGCTACCTGCGTGGATCTCAATTGTGAATTTTTTGTTTTGTTCTGAAGATAGTCCTTATATATTCTTTACATTTCACAACATGATTGACAACTCAATTGCACAATCCAGTGTAAAGCAAAGTGATGAAATTATTTTTGCGTTTCAAAACGTTTTGTAGATTTTCACATTATCAATTCTACGTGTCTTAATAAGCATATATGGTTATCTACTTGTAGTATATAAAGCGTTAGGCTTCGCTTACCGCCTTCCGGCTGCATAATTTTTTTGCGTTATCTGCGAAATATGAAAACAAAACTAAAATGCCCGATACATAGAGACATGAAAGTGCAATACATATGTATCGTATAAAGCAACGTTAGACCCTGTAGGAAATAATAATTTCAGTCAACATAATTGCAAAAAAAAAAATTACAAATTTATATAAATTAATTTGCTTTACTTGTGTTTTAATTTTTATTTCTAATTTTATTGAATTAATAATCATTCATTTATTTTTAATTTTTTAAAGATTAAATTTGTAACGAATTACTATCTTTTGTTTTAAAGTTCATAATTTTTTTTGTTTTGTTTTTTAGTTAAATAACATGTATTCGCATAAGATTTAATTATTCCACAAAAAATATTTCGACTTCACTGAACATATGTACATATAACTTGAAAAATTCAGAGTTATAAATATTTATAAAATTACTCAATTTAGTTTATTAAACGACGTTTTAATTTTTTCACTTTCAATAATTTACAAAAAATGTTACACTTTTTTTTATTTTAATATTTTTTAGTTTTATATTTTTATTTTCATGATATGTTTTTTTATTTTATTTAATTTAATTTATTTTATCTCATTTTATTATTATGAAACTTTTAATTTTTACACTTTTGAAATTAATTTAATTTAATTTTACTTTATTTTATTTTATTAACTTAAGTTTTAATTTAATATTTTTAAATTAATTTAATTTAATTTAATTTTATTATATTTTAGTTCATTCAGTTTTATTTTATTATATATACTTTTTATTTAATTTAATTTAAGTTATTTTTATTTTATTTTATTTTATTTCATTTAATTTAATTTAATTTTATTTACTGAAGTTTTAATTTAATATTTTAAGGTTAGTTAAATTAAATTTATTTTAACTCTAATTTATTTTGTTTTATATTAATTAATTAAATTAATTTTTATTATATTTTACTTAGTTTTATTTTATTTTAATTAATTTAATTTTATTTTATTATATATATTTTTTATATTTATTTAATTTTATTTTATTTCAATAGTTTTTTTATTTGTTTTTATTTTATTTTGTTTTTATATATTTTATTTTCTTTACTGTGGTTTTATTGCATCGATATTGATTTATTCACATAAAATATTTTTTTTTTGTAGAGTACGTTTCTTGAAGGAATCTCATAGGAATCGTATATACAGAGATAAGTATCGATACATATGCAATTTACATATGCATATAATATTAATGAGTATATAGAAGAGCCACAAAGTCAACAATGATAACCTGAAGAGAATTTTGGTATAAAAGGCCCTACAAACATAGCCATTGACATCAGTAATAACGAGTTTGTTCATTGTGACTACTCAAAGCAACGTCAAGTTTATTTTGTGAAACAATATATACATCTGAAATATCGATTAGTGATTCAGAGGTGAATTTCACAATAAAGTGTAAACCCCCAAAGTGGAAAAATTACAAATTAAAGTGCGAATCAATCAAAAAATATCAGCAACAAATAAAGCTAAGCACACAAAGTGAAGTAAAGAGAGCAAAAGCACCATATTATATAGCAAAGAGAGCAAAAAGGGGAGCATAAAAAAGCCATACAAAAATTAGCTCCAGCAGTGCAAGTGCTTAAAAACATTGTGAAATTTTTGTAAAACCGCGAGTGTGCGAGTGTGTGTGTGCATTCAGATGGCAAATAACGCAAGTTGTTGTAACCGTGAACTTGGCCCTGATGCGGCGCAAACTAGAACGAGTGAGCGACAAAATCTACGCAGGGCTATTAAGCGCGCTGCTAAGGCGCAACGCCGACTTCACAAAGCTATTTATAGTGCGCAAACGTTTGGGGAGGGGGCCAACACGAGTTCAAGCTCCAGTGAAAGTGATGGCGAGGAGACAGAATGTAGAGGACGTCGCAGTGCAGGCGAAGGTGGCAGATCGCGTTTCATTCCCTATCCTCAGGGTCCCTGGACTAGGCGTCATGGCATGCACGGTGCTCATGGACCGTGGGCTTCAATGCGCGGATTTCCATCAGGTAGGCATATGATGGGTTTTCCTGGTTTCGGTGCCGGTTTTCCAGGTATGAGGTCGCACGGTGTGGGTCCTCATCCGCATCCACACCTACATCACCATCATCATGGTCATGGTCATCATCATCATCACCGTGGCGCTTTTGGTGATTTTCATTTGTTTGGCGGACATGGCGGTCATTGTGGACGTAGTGGCAAGAGTGGCCATGGACATGGTAATTTTGGCAGAAATTTTTCCCACTTTGGTGGTGTGGGTCATCGCAGCGGACGTCGCGAGAGGGCACAAAGTGTGCCTAGATTCTGAGCGTTCGACAACAAAAGCGGTAAATTGCAACATATTCACATAACTACATATATACATATATATTTGCTAATATATTTCGAAAAAAGTATTTAAACAATAAAAAAAAAATCAAACTTTTACTGCAAATAAAATTGAAACTATAATTATTCAGCAGAAAATTATGTCTTTTATTTCTTTATGAACTATCTCTGTATCGTATGTATGTATATCGAGTATGGTAAGTATGTCTATAATTGTGTGTTGGTTTATATGACCGTTATCTGATAAGATCAATTAAGCTTTTGGCTTTGATAGCAATAGTTTAGGTACATAAGTAAAGGGAAGTTTATAATATTATCGGAAACATTCTTCTGTTTAATTTCACAAATATAAAAATTTCGAGTAGAAAAATTATCAAATAATTGCATAATTGTAAATTTCTTTTCAAGAAAGACTTTTCTAAGGGTAACTCTTGGTCAATAAAATTGGAACTTGGAGTTGGCTTTCATAGAAGATGACAATAATATATAATACTTACTTACCTAATCACTCACTAAATAATCTCAGGGTGATTTTCTATTGAAGTGTTTGTGTGGTAGTTTTATTTAATTTAAATCAGCTGTTTTTGATTACAGCACCAGAGTTGCATTAATGTGGCTTTCACTAGGACTTCAGCGTTGCATTTTTATATGAAATGATAATTTTTTTTAGATACATCCTACTATAATATAATTCAACTCACAGTTGAATAAGTTATTGTTTTATAAGATAATATGAAAGTAGAAAACCACTTCTTACTTAAGTCCCTATTACGGTTTTCAGCTCAACTGCATTTTGCTCGTAGTTTCGAAATTCGGAATAATCAACTCAATCGGTCAAAAAATGTTTCGTTTGTCAAACTTACAGTTGTAGTTGAACATTGCGACGTTTATTTAGGAAAATTATTAATAGCAAATAGAAAACTTACTTTAAGAATATATAATTTTACTTATTGATTTGTGGGAGTCATTCATATAAGAGGTCTCATATTTTATTTAATATAGCCATAAAGGTATGATTCACGGACGCAATTACGTACTTATATATTGTACAATTTGTTAAACTGCGAATGCGTCTCCCTAATGCAATTCGTTAAACTAAAGAAGAGTCTTGTATCTTACTATGGAGCTTAGTTAGGGCTATTTATTGGTTTTCGATTAATAACGTTTTGTGGCGCGTGGCAATGGTCCGATTACGCCCACCTACAATACCAAACGTCTTTACGGTGTCGAGAAACATGTGTATCAAGTTTCATCAAGATATAATATATAAATTTTTGCTCAAGTTACAGCTTGCACAAACCGATGGACGGTAGGACGGACAGATAGTCACCCGGATTTCAACTCGCCTCTTCATCTTGATCATTTAATTATATATATAACTCTATATCTAACTCGACTAGTTTTAGGTGATACAAACAATCTTTAGGTGAACAAAATTATTATACGCGGTAGCAACATGTTGCAAGACTATAAAAATAATTCAGTAATACTTTTCAATACTAATATGAATAATTTAAATATGTTAATCATATTTTTTATTATTAATAGCTTAATTGGAAACTTTTTGACGCCACTAATCACCTATACAAATACAGTAAATAAGTAAGTATGTAAGACCATATGTTATTTACATGTTGCAACTTTGTCATATTTAAATGAAATTAATGTGGTTATATAACCCTAGGCACTTTATTAACCAACACAAACTTTACCAGTATCGAAACGCACACATACACAAAGTTTGCTCCGCTTAACTGTGCTTCAGTGCTTAAAATGGGGTTAGCCGTATGTTGTTACTCGGGGCACTCAACTTTTATATGGGCCAACTTGTACTCGTATGCGACCACAAAATTGATGTGCATTTTGCAGGAGCTATTAGTTTGTGGTCATGGGGGTCATAAAAGGTTTTGTTATGTATGTGAGTTTGTATGCGTTTACATGAATAAAAGATAAGCGGCATCACTGGTGGCTGCAGAAAACCAAATCAAGCGCAAAAATACAACGATATATTTTTTTTTTTTTGGAAAAGGATTTGAAGTTCTACAGTGATGCAAAAAATAATATCTTTTAATTTTTTAAATATGTACTCAAGTGATTTGTATTATTGGCAACCGCAATAAGATCTACCGTATACAAAACCACAGAGCTCGCGTATACACTCGTTTGGAGAAGAAAAAAAAACAATATCCTTGTGATCGTTATTCCTAACTATATTGCCCGGGAGAAGGTTACTAGCCTAAACTAATCTGTCAGCGGGCGTTTTCCGACTTTCTTTTGAAGCAATTCCTTAAAAAGCTATAAATCAATTGCTTGATTTCTTAACTGGTGCTCAATTAAATTCGTATTTTATCTGGCTATAGTATTCCTACTCCAGAGTAATATAACCATATATTTATTAAAAATATATCTTTTATTTCTTGATAACTCCATGAGCATTATCATCATCATTTGATATTTCATCCTATCAGATTTTATAGAGCACTCCAAATTTGTTCTCTTTTCAGCCCCACTTTTTAATTTTGCATATATTGATATACCTTCAAGACCTTGTCGTGATGCTAAGTCGGATGTGAGAGTAATACGCGCTGGTGTACCTCAAGGAAGCTTTCTTGCGGCTGTGTTCTACATTCTCTTCACGGCTGGCCTCCCAGTGATTAATACTCCACAATTGCGGCAACGTATGCAATTGAAAATGCACTACTGCCGCCTCCAGGAAACAGCAAACGCAATTGATCGCTCTAGAACCGTGGCCCACTGTATGGAACATCGGCATTAATACTGAAAAGTCTATACGAGTTGTGTATATTCTCAGGTTCGAAATATATGCCCTTAAGTGGCATTAAATGGTTAGTTGCTACCAAAAAGCACAAGCACAAAATATCTGGGATTTACAATTGATAAGAGACGTACATGGAGAGACCACTTAAGAATTAAGAGAACCCAGCTCCGGTTAAGGGTTGCGCAGGTCAAGATCCTTATAAGGCAATACTCAGACCGATCTGGTCGTATGAAATTCAAATCTTTGGGGAACTCAGCTGATTTAAATTTTAAAGTGGTTCAAGACTTTTAATTAAAAAGTTCTGCGAACTATAGTGGGAAATGACGCCTTCTATTCAGATCTAAAAATGCATACTGTAACAGAATCTATAGAAGATCTTAGTTTCCTTTCTCGATTGGAGAATTGTGATAACGTTCTTGCGATACAACTGCTGTATAATAGTCAACCATGTAGGAGACTTAAAAGATATCAGTTTTTTTTTTGATAGTTTTAAAAATGTCCAGCCAAGACTTGAAATTACTCAAAATTAGTTAATAATGAGTACAAGTTTGAAAAAAATTGGCGTACTCAAAAATGATAGAAAGCCATATTTGAATGAAAGAAAGGACAATGAGATGAAATATACTCCAACCAACAAAGTCTCTTTGTATTCCATATCATAATACACCCCACAAATTATCTGCAGCTCTTGGCAACACACACATTCTGCTAATAAAATTCTCCCTCCCTCAGCCATATACACGCAACCGCATAATAGTAGTACATCTCAAATAGTTTTACACATTTTATGACCAACTCGTGGGACAATAAATGAAATTTACATGGCCGCTATTTAAGACGCACTATTGTCATATTTATAGCTGCTGCCATGGTTAGGCGCTATTTTAATTACGACTTTAGCGAACTAAAGTTTAAGAGTTCCTACACATTGGCCCGGCCATAAATGTGAGAAATTTGAAAATTGTTTGGTTGCACTGGTTGGCAAGGTCACAGTGAATGGCATACTTCTGGTTACACTCGGTCTGCTTTTGCGACAGTTGTGTACATTTGTGGTTAAAATTAAAATTAGCACACACATTCATAACTAAGCAGAAGACTTTGTAAGTCTTTAAGTTGGAGTTTCTAATTGGCGTTGCCACCTCGATTGTGCGGCAAATAAAATTTGCGAAATTGTAAGTACAAATATTTTCACTCAAAGTATTTCGTAAACGCTTCGATAAATGATGTTTAGTGCTAAATTGAGTGTGTTCGCCGGGTCGTATACGCAACCTTCGCTTCGCTGCACCGAAAATGTGGTTACTCATGCGCCATGGCGATCGTAAAATAGCGCATATTTTTCAACGGCGACCACTGCTTTCTATTGCTTTTAAGGCTTCTATTGTATTTTGCTTAGTGCACGCACACACACACACAAACACATACACACACTATCGCATTCTTTGCCTTTTCTCGCTACGCTTTCACTGCCTTGACTGATGGTTGCCAACATAACTCATGTTTAACTATGTACTCACTTGCTTTCAACTTGTTTTGTAGATCTTTCATATTTTTCACAGTCATCTTGAGTTTTTTTTAGTGTTGTTTGTGTTTGCAATGCTTTAGTACATTGTAGTGCAATGCATTTATATGCGTATTCTTTTCAGTTCTATACTTGCAACAATGCTTGTTATATGCATGAAGTAGGAATTTTGCCATTGTGTTGAGTGCAACTGTTAGCTAACGGCTTTTAAGATAATACATGGCTGCTGTCTGCTTAGTGGACATATTCATAGTAGATATTTAAAGCGGGTTTTACAATAAGAGCGTGTCTTATTTTATATTGCTTAGAACAAGCAAGAAATGCGTAAGTTCGGATTAAATTAAAAATATCGGCAGCAGGGGTGTACGAATTGGAAATTATTAAAAAAAAATTATTTTAAAAAAGTATATATTTTTTATATGCGGTTCGATTAAGATGGTCCTTAAAAGTATCACGACAATTTTGTTCTCATATTTAAAACTACTTTTTTTCCAGTCTCACTTTCATATTTAGTAATATTCGGTCAATCATGTCATTTAAATGTTTTGGTTTCGATTTGAGAAGTTTAGGGTTTATCGCGAAACTGCCTTATTTCTGTTTAACATATGGAAATCCACAAAGCAAAATTATTTTTTCAACCAATACTCAAATGGTAACAACTATTTTCGACTGCATGCATTTT